CTGGTTTGATTTCCATGATTCTGTTGGAGAAGAGAGAATCCTGTTCAAATTTTGCTTCAAATTCAGTAAAAAAGGTTGCAAGTAGGTATCTCTCTTGAACCTTCTTCTAACTGAGGTTAGAAGGTATTCCTGCTCCTGTCCTAGGAGTAGAAAAAGTGCAGGATAATCTCTCCCTCACGTGTGGCTGCGGATTGAAGATCACTTTGACTGTGACCAGCCTGGAAGTAGTGGAGATATGACAACAAGGGTCTCTGATTGCTTGAGAAAATCGCACTTTGGCTGTCGGCTGGAAGTGGGGCCCACGGTAACATCTGGGTGCAGGAGAGGTCAACAGAATTCCTTTTGTCCGGCTTTGAAGTTTAAATCTCATATGACACAAAGAATTATAGTCAAATCTGACCCAGAGCAGCATTACCTTGAGAACAGTGTACATATACATATCCCTCTCCTTTAACTTGTCCATGTCCCTAACTTCTTTGGAGTTTTATAGAAAGTTCTTTTCTTCCAGGAAGACGTGCCTGATGAACAGATTTTTGCCTGAATATAAAATGAGTGTTTTCCCTAAAATCATTTCCCAGAAAAGTGTCTCTCAAATTATTCTCTCTCAAATTACTTTGAAAATAAAGAGTGTTTTGGAAGGACCCGTTCACCAAAATGACTTCAGTCATGCTTAGTTTGGAAGTTTTGGTGGAGATCACCAGAAGGACTGCCAGAAAAGGAGCCAGAAGCAAACCCCAGAGATTGAGGAATTACTCCTGTGGTATGGTCTCACTATTAAATATATTTGGTATCAATTTAAGTAAGTTTTTTAAAGACCCTTTTAAAAAGCTAATGGTAAGTAGCTCCCTTATGAGACTGATACATATGCACAGCTGGGATAATTGGGTGACTGTTAGTATTACACAAGTGGACACGTAAGACATAGCCAACTGTTTTCCAGTGACAGCTTCATCATGCTGTGTCTCAGACCACCATGTGGAAGTAACAAGGATGAGCTCTGGAAAACTGTGCTGATGACTCACAAAGATTTACTGTTGAGGACAAGGAAAACCCCTGTTATCTATGAGCATGCAAAGATGTAGATAGAGTTAATTCATAAGTATGAGTGAAAAAATATTTTATATTCCTATTTTGGGTATTGTCTCATTTAAAATAGCAACTGTAGGTAGACATCTAGCTGTTTAATCAATATTTATAAAATGTATACATTCGTATTAAAAATTTTTCTTTAGATCTTCTCACTGAAAAATAGGGAGATCACTCTGTATTTGGGGCTGCCCTATATTCCAGCCCTGAGGTAACTAAGAACCTGGTTTACCCAACCCCCACTTCCTCTTTTTTAAGGCTCAGGCTAATCCTAAGTGTTTATTTCATCTTCCTCTCCAGAAAATAACTTCTGGGGACAGTGCTCTGCCTTTTCTGCCTTAATCCCTCCAAATTGAGTTTTTCCTTCTTACAGTGTGGGAACATTCATTTGTCTGTTTTCTCATGGTCCTTGTCTGTGGAATGAGGAGATAGAACAAGATGTTCTGCAGGGATCCATCCTGGTTTTAATTTTTCTTGAGTTTTTGGGAACCTTCCTCCAGGGGGTGTGGCTCCTAAGTCAGAGAGAGACAAACACTGGCCATCAGTGTGGTCTCAGGACACAGAAGGCCCTTAAGTCTGGGGAGAAAGAGGAGAAGAACAAACGGTCTCACTCAGAAGGATCCATTTGAGTCTCTTCTTCACTAAGAAGAGTTTTCTGGCTAAGCAAGGAGAACATTTTAGAAGAAATCACCTGCGCAGGGTGGAAGGTAAGAGAAAAGAGTGCATTCCAGCGATTGAAGAGTATATATCTAGAGAGGAGCCTACATGAGGCTGGAAAGAGAAGCACAGCAGGACCAGATAAAGACGATGGAGCCGGAAAAGCAAATGTTGGCCACAGGGTCAGAATGGGTGGCCAGTGCTGCCTCCTAGTGGGTTGGCAGGAGATGGGTGGGAGCAGCTGGAAGCCACTCTGAAGGAGAGGCCCCAGAGGTGGACAAACGGGGATGGTTATGTGCACATGGTGGCTAATGTGGGCAGTCTGTAGCAGAATGGCCTGGGACAGAAGAGTGATCTGAGCACCCAGGAAAGGTGTACTGCCTCCTCTTGTCACTAACTGCACGGGGCCATTGGATGACCTTTCCTTTGGCCAAATGAGACTGTAGGAGTTTTGTTAAAACGCATTCTGTTGAGGAAAGAAGAGGGACACATGTACCTCCCATTTGTTTCATTTGGTTTCATTTCATAAGCTTTTATTTAAATCCCAGTACAGTTACTTCCCTTTTATGTACTGCTGCATGGGTTTAGAGCAAATCCATGAGCTGGGGTGGGGGCACGGGTGGTGAAGGCTGGCTTCAGAGCTAACTCACATGAGGGTGTAAGAGATTGAGAAACACTGCTCTGGGGTCAGGGCTGGGGAGGGGGAAGCTTCAGGGCAATAGATGGTGATAGGGAGGGTAGGGGTGAAGAAAGGGGAGAGAAACTCAGAAGAGCTAATAAGGTTTAGGAAACAAGTGAGTCATTGTGCAAGCCAACCATGGGCATGCTGATCATCAAGGTTTTCCCTAAAAGTATTTGGGCACAGTGGTATACACAGCAAAGGATAGGGGCTTTGGGGTCAGGTTGGGACCCCATTCTGCTACTTGTCTAGCATATGACCCTGAGCAAGTTGTTAAACCTGTGTCTGTCAATAATGTTGATACTTACCTTGTACATTTTTTTTTTGGTTATTTATTTTTGAGAGAGCACGTGTGAGGGGCAGAAAGAGAGAGACACAGAATCCCAAGCAGGCTCCAGGCTCTGACCTGTCAGCCAAGAGCCCGACATGGGGCCCAAACCCATGATAATCCGTAAGGTCATGACCTGAGCCAAAGTCAGACGTTTAACTGACTGAGCCACCCAGGCGCCCCTTCACTTGTAAGAATTTTTAAGGACTTAATAACTCATGTATGTATGTATTTGATCACCTTTATACACCTGCAGCAGCCTGTGGCCCAGTAGGTGATGAGAGATGGGCATGCAGAGAATGTGCACCCCAGCAACAGGAGCAGCCAAAAACTTGTAATCAAAATTGTAAATGTGTTAGTTTGATTTTCTCATGGGTCGTTTTCAAGGCGCTGATGTCAGCCGAATAGCCTAGGTGTTGTAAGTCTAGACTGAAGATAGGGTCAAATCCAAACTGACTGGGTAAAGAGTGGCTGCCCTTTCATTCTTTGAATGCTCACACAGAATTAGGTTTTCTGTTGTGAGAATCTAAGTGCCTTTGAGTGCCTTTTTATTTAAATATTCTTTTACGTCACTCATTTAAAGACCTGGTCCCTTTCCTGGAAGCCTGTAGGACCAGTTCCAGAGAAATTTATATTCATTCATTTAAAAACTAGACACCAGGCGTCTCCTGAATTCAGCTAAAACTTCATGGAAAAGTTTCCTATAGGAACAGGATCCAGATGTGTACTCCTGGTTGTAGCATGAACCCATTCATTAAGATTGTTGTAGCAAAGGGTGTCCAGTCTGAGTCCAAAGGCAGTCTCTTGGGGAAAAACTGATGGCTGGGTTACTCTGCCTACTCGGTCTCTAAAGGATTGTTCACAGCCCTTGATGATGAGGCAGTGGGAGAGACACTTCATCTGAGGTAGGTTTTTGTCCCCCTCTTATTATTGTGTGTAAGGATTCCCACTACATATTTCACGTTATCCCAGTAAGATTCCAATTTCATACAAATGTGTAAGTGGATACATAAATCCCATATAAGTGCGAGAGAATTCTCACTAAAAAACATTCAGGAATGATACCCTTCCAGTTAGACTTTTCTGACATGTTAAAAAACATAACCATAGTGACAAAGAATAAATGTAAAAATCAGATTTTGAATGTCCACAGATTTCTGAAACTGAGCTATGCCATGCCATCTCTTTAAAATCCATAGCAGTTGGCGAGAATACCTATGAAGATAAGCGTTGAACTTTGAATTTAAAGACAGATTTTTCTCCTCAGTGGACATAGAAACATTTTAAGCTGTTGAGAAACCCAGCAGCAATGGGAACAGGGCTGTTGCCCTGGATTTGATGGTCTGTGCTTCCCTCTGCTTCCCTGCACTCTCTTCCTTTTCTGCCTCTGCTCTGCTTCCATCCTGCTCTTCTGCTTACTCACATTAACTGGACTAAAGCATTGGACTTAACTTGTATGTAAAAGTGTTTCTGCTAAGTTTTAGATTTGTATTTTGGAATTGGAAGGAGTGTTTTAGATAACCTTTAAAGAGAAAAAGGCTTAAACCAAAAGCTAAAGTTGTTTTCTGCCTCTGGGCTAGGGAAACAATGCTTTGAGGGAACTCCTTCTGGAAGCACAATGTATTGGATGTGTAATATAAATTAGGGTAAGACAAAAGGTACCGCAAAGAAGTCAGGCTGAGCCTGGTAGAGCCAAATGAAGGATTTTAAACAAAGGGACACTTAGCCCAGAGCCCAGATATTCTTTCTCTAATTTGTCATATGTACGTGAAAGGATACAGGTAACAGGTAAAAGATGTGCAAATCTAATAGTCCAGATTTTCTTCCAGTGGAACTGTTGACTTAGTTTCACATACTACACTCAGATGGCTTCAAGCCTCACTCCAGCAGTGTGGTTACAAACTGGCCACTAGATGGCACATTACCACCGTACTTGGTTGGTCCCTTGGCACCCTAATAGAAAACAAATCCACTGGGAGGTGGTAGGATGTTGCAATCCCAGAAGTGATTTTGGCAAATTAATTTACCAGTTTTCCAGATTTATAATCAGTCCATTCTGTGTTAAGACCAAGACAGTGTGTCGATTTTCTTCTAAAACCTATTCCATTATGCAAATGAACATTTAAAGAGCCACAGAACCCTCTGAAGACATCTAGTTTACACTGAGACCCAAGGGCAGTAGTGACAAATACGGTTATCTCAAACATTATGTGTAATGACATCAAACTGTAGTGATTATACACATACAAAAAAATTTAAACAAGAATTTATTTCTTAAATTTACTTAAAGGATTAGAGCTGATACATAGGGAACGTTTACAATAACATTTAGAGTTATGTCAACATAAGACCCATAGCTATGGTAACAATTAGCACATGCAATTCACCGTAGAGGTAAAAATACTTACAATACTCTCTCTAGACAAGCCTTCTACATGAAGGTAGACTAGGTAGGGGTAAAAGAGGAATTGAACTTGAGAGGATTGCACTTACAAGTAAAAGGGACAGAGCGAGGATACGAAGAAGATACACACCTAATGCTAGGGTACAAAGAGGATACACTGTATGTAGTACTAGCAAATTGCACACTTACTTAGAGTATATTCAATAAACATATATTAAGACTAAGGAATTTTCAAATACCTGCCTTTAACCATTTGATATCACATTTTAGTATTCATGTTACACCATCTGAAACATGTAGTTACCATTCAGACAAAACTGGTCTTACGGGATAAAAAACGTAGAACATCTATCACCACTGGTCTTCAGTACATTTTCATCATCAACTTTAAAGCACTTAGTAATGAAGTTAAACTAACCCCATTTGAAGGAGCTGCTGAGCGCAAAAAACTCGTAAAAAATTAGAAACAAATGGATAACAGAAGAGCTCATCCTGGGTTGCTGCCTTTTCCTTTTTAATGATACGCATAGAATATCACACTAATGTGTAATAGCACATACAAAACAAAAAAGATCAATCCAAAAGACAGTACATTTGGCTCTAGAAAGTTCTTTTGACTTACATCTGAACTGTTTATAAATATTCTGCAAATAACTGCTGTCAAAGACCAGTTGCTTCTTTATACCTTCTTTAAAAAATAAAATTGGTCACTGTCATGGATTTCAAAGATTTTTTTCCCCTTATGTCTGCTCTCAACAGAGGGCTTGCTTGAACCCATGACCCGTAAAGAGTCACATGCTCTTCTGAGCCAGTCAGGTGTCCTGACCATGACCAATTTTAGGTTAAACAAATAGCTTGCCATTTTATGGCTCCATATTCTCAAGTTATAGAAAAGTGCAGTAAATTTTTTTAAAGTAATCTCACTTGGGCAATACAATACCACCTGTAACAGAAAGCTATCCCAGCAATTTTTAATAATTGAACTTTAAAATTTTTACGTAGCTTGTATATTGACATTTTACCCATTTCAACAAAACAACAGAGGTGTATGGTTTAAGAATTTGTTCTTAAAACCAAACATAGGAGAATGATGTGGAATATAACAGAATGGAGGAAGAGCTCCCCCACTTGATTTATGATTGGTCAATGCATGCCAGTTAAAAGAAATATTTTAGGGAGCTGTACAACAGGATTATTTATGTCATGATCTTAACTAGTTAACTACATGGATAGAAAATAACTATTTTTAAAAAACAGATTTCTACTTCTGAAGATATTTTAGATGTTCTACTTTAAGGATGAGCTTTCATAAATGTTTTACAAGTATATTTCTACTTCATTACCTTTTAACTTCACAGTAAGCTAGGAAGACCAGAAAGCTTCATGTGTAAAGTTGCAATTAAATGAACAACCTCGGTAGAGAAAGATGTGAACACGGAATATATGAATGGTGATCCCCCGCCCCCCCCCGTCTACTTACACATTGGGCATGTTCTTGAGTGCTGTGACTGATCAGTACTGGCTTTGAAGTTTGAAGACAGTTACTCATGTCTTCATACGGAATTGGGGTAGGGTACCAACCCACCAGTAACAGATTACAACAATACTTGTGGCATATATGCTTATTTTTTAATCCTGTATGAAGGCATCAGTAGCAGTGTATTAGTTTTGTCTACAGAGAGGCTGTTTTCTGACACGCCAGCATTATTTAAAGTAAATTTTTGGATACTAAAGATCAGAGTAATCCCTCCACTAACTTATATATAATTTTGACATAAACCAGATCCATTTCTCTGCTTACCTAAAATATAATTTACATGCCTCAAAACAAATTATCCTAAGACATGGCTCAGGAAGGTAATTTTGTATTTTAAACAAATTTCATGAATGCTTGTCTCTTTCTGGGCAAAAGATGTACATCACATATTAGTAATCCCATCTATATTTCCTGATGGATTACCTGTACAGGAACTATCTACTTAGTATGTGTAAAGTGCTCTTGCAGCTGGGGGGCATGCTCTCGGTACCGTTTTCTATACAAGTTTTCCACAAACAGGGTTGCTTACATAGTGGATGACTTCACTCTCATCCCCTCAGATTAGGAGTTTACATTTTCTAAGTGCCCCCATGTCCCCATGTACAAACTTCACACTCACTCAAATTCTAACACTGCAAAGGAAGGTTATAGCTGAACATGATGACAATAACATGACTACATACTTGGAGGAAATGAAAAATATAACTGATAGAAACTTCTTGACAGATTTTTAACAAGATAAATCTAATCCTGATCTGGATCAGGCTTTGACCAACTTAAATGGTGGTGGTGCTATTATCTTGTAGTGTGACTTCTCTGTGCCCAGTCTTCCTCATCTACTTCTCATCCGTCATTCTACCAATCTCATGTTGCATCTGCCCTGTCTCATAAAGACTCTGTGTGTGAAAGGAGTCTGAAAGATACCAGGCAAGAATACAAAGGATAACATTTCTACAAACAGAATCACATATAATGAGCAGAATTAGATTTCAACTATAAATGTATACCAACTTCTCCTAGCCTATTATTCTTGAATAACCTCTACAAACCATTTTAAGTGGGCCTGGTTTTTGTGACTTAAGTACGATAAAAAACCGTAACATACTTTTTGCAACTCTACTTGATACCATTTGCCTCCTGTCAAATGTGGTGGGTAGGGTATGGCATAAATGTGAAAGTGGGGTTAGTGCTAAACTCTGGAGCCCTGGCTCACTTCTCTCTGGGAAGAGGTTTAAAATCTCTCTAAATCACAGAACTAGCAAGTGTTAAAATACTCTCTCTTCATTAAGTGCCTCTAAAACAGGGTATTCTCTGATATTAATTAACCTCAACATATACAGTTCTGGGTGGGGTTTTATTTAAGTACTGCCTGTGTCTTCTCAGTTTGTTTAAACAGCTACTAGAAGAAAAACCTTCCAATCTTGGCCTACTTAAAAATAAAAGCAAAGCATATTAAAACACATTTTAAGTTGGAGATATAAAGTGCTTCTCATCAACCAAATTCTCTAAAATTTTAACAAAAAGGGTCAATGTTTATATATACAAAAAAAAGGCAAAGAATTTTTAAAATGGTTAAGATGCTTTGGCATTCATTACTAGCTTTTAACCGGGCACTCTTAACTGCTGAATTTGTGAAATGGATCTTCAAACAGACTGTGAATAATGACAGAAAGCAAATTTTTGAAAATTTACTTATCATTCTATAATGTTCAAAAATATATTTTTTAATCTGCAAAATTAAAACTCTAGAATTCCATTTAGTAGCTGGCATCAGTACATCAATGGAAGAGAATGTCTAATATTTCATGTTGGCAAGATTATAATTCAGCCCACTAGTTTTTTAGTTGGTTTTGGTCAGACAACAAAAACTGGGTTTATACAGTTATGCTACCTAACACTCTCCTTATGCTGTCAGCTGAAGTAGAGGGTCTAGACCTTGCTCATCTAATTTTTTTTACCTTCACTCTCAGCCACTTTATTTGGTGACTATTCTCATTAAAATCAGTAGAGCTTTGCTAAGTACATCACTGTTTACTTAAAGACCATCTGTTGTCTAGCTACAGAAAACTTATAAATTTCAGACAAGCTTTCTGTTGTTCTTCAGTGCAAACATCCTGAAACAGCACAAAATTATTCAGCTATTCAGAGGATGAAGTCAGTGTTTGTAGTGCTTGAAAGTAGAATCCCAGATATTCTGGAAGGGAAACCGCCCACGTGGGAGGCCAGTTTATTGTTGTCCTTAAGGGCAAATGATCATCTTCTGTGAGTGAAGATTAACAGTTAAAGTTAGCTTTAGTTTACAGGTACTGGTGAAGTTTTAACAGGACCCAGTCTCTCACTGAGGCATGTAGCCACCTCGTCTGACAGTCTGGGGTAAGTAGCTTTTGGGCATTCCTTCATCAACTTCAGCCTCTATCCCAACTGTTTCAAATCTCTCTATCTGTCCCTCAGTACGTGGACCAAAAGCATCTGCTACAGAAATTTCTTGAAACATTTTCATTTGCCCAGATCCGTAGGACTGTGAAATATCTGAAATCTGCTGTTTGAGTCTAACAAAATCTTCTTCATTGACTGATGAAACATGCTTTGACCTTTCAAAATGTGAAATATCTGGACTGGTTTCATGCTGACTGCAGTTCTGTTTGAAATACTGTTGCCTGGGCAAACTGCCAACACTGCTCTCTGTGTTATCTACCAGCTGTAGATCTTCTGGCCGCTCTTCGGAATCTAACAAGGGTTGAGTGGACTCGGATCTTGAGAAGACTTGGACTGACGGAACCTGGTGTCTGTAGCCACTGTGCACCACTGTGGAATACTGGACGGTGCCTGAGGTGTTCTGGGCAGACTCATTTTCCTCACTGCTAGAAATGCTGGGCCTAGAGGACGACATGCACGAAGACCCTCCAATACCACTGCTGTGTCCTTCAGTACTGATTTTTTCCTTCTTGAATAGGTCCAGTGATTTCAGATCTTCTGGAAAAGGCCTTTTGTCATTTGCTGCTTCTATTTCCACAACACTTACATCAGTGAAATTGCCATCTGAATACATTTGATCTTTTGTATTAAAATTATGCTAAGAAAGAAAGAAAAAATGTATTATCTATGGCATAGGTTCATTTAGAAACTATGAAATATATATGGCAAATTCTAGTTAAAGCCACAGTGAAATGCATCTCTGAAACTTCACAGTAATTTGGTGCAGACATAATCTGTAGCACTAAGCACTGTCAACTAGCTCAACTGCAGATACTGTGAAATGATTCTAAGAAGTATGAATCAGAGTGGGCTTCCTCAATCGTTAAATTTTGATAAGCTACTGCTGTACAAACAGTATTTCACTACTACAGAGCTGCAGACTAACTGGACAGAAAAACTAGAAAACATGAAAAGTTCAAAGAATTTAGGTTTCTAGAAATCACTGCAACAGTATGAAACTGATACTGTTTGATTTTAATATCTGATCCAAAATCTATTTACCATATACTAGTATTTACATATTAAGTTTTCAATATGCAAGTTCAGTGAAGTATTTTTCATGTTTTGGGAACAGAATAAGGAATATAGAAATATGCTATTTTATCATTTCCTTTTCAATTTGGTCTTCTCAGTTGGTTCAACTCTATAAAAGTACCCTGAAATGCCCAAGTATAAACAAGTCAGAAACACTTTATCTTACCCTAGGAGGTGTATGAGGTGACCACTGGGCAATATGACTCTTTGAAGGATCTGGAACATTAGGCCAGATATGTTTTTTAATTCTGGAGAGAAAAGAAATACAGTATCTGTGGAACCACATGTAATAAACAATGAATAGTCCCTAATTCCAAAGATGAGATTAATCTAGTCATAATGAAAAATAGTATTCAATTTAAAAAAGTGAAATAAAATTCTACAAAAAAGCGGAACAAAGTCACAAAACTTTGGTACACCACCCCCCAAACCACAAAAGAAGCAAAAATGTTCAATTTCCAACTAAAACCACCTAACACATAGCCACTAGATAAAATATGATAAATGTAACTTTTCACAAGAATATTTACCTTAATATAGTCCCTATCCCAAAGTTAGAGGTCCCTAAAGTGTGTTTAAGTATACAGGAAGTGAGTCATCTTGAGAATGACTCCCCTGTGCAAACAACTATAAAATCTACGTGTAATGTCTCCGAATGTATTTCAGTTTTATATAAATTGAATTAAAAAGTTTTTAATGTTTATTTTTGAAAGAGAGACAGAGCATGAGTGGGGGAGGGGCAGAGACACGGGGGGCCACAGCATCTCAAGCAGGCTCCAGGCTCTGAGCTGTCAGCAGAGCCAGATGAGGGAGGGGCTCAAACCTAAGAGCCTAAGTCAGAAGCTTAACCAACTTAATTTTTAAATTAACATTCTTCCCACAAAGAAAATCTCAGGCTCAAACTGATCTTTGTGAATTTTAGCAAACACTTCAACAGAAATAGTATGAATACTATATAAACTCTCCTAGAAAACAGAGAAGGTAATGTGTCCCCATTAATTTGAGGAGGCCCTTCATTCTGTGAAGTAATCAGTATCACCTGATTTCAAAAGTAAATGAACAAACCACCAAAAAGGACCAGTATCACTCATGAAATATAAATGCAAAAATTAACATACTGAATCCAGAAAAGTCTAAGAAAGGCAAGGACAGTTTAACATGTGGGAAAAAACCAATGAATAAAATTCACCATACACAGAGAACTTCCTTAACTTAAAACCAACATCATATGCAATGGTTAGAGACTGGATGCTTTCTCCCTTAAAATTGAGAATAATGCAAAGTTATTACTTAACCAATCTAATAAAAATAACTGAAAGGATAAACATCCGAATAACCATGTTTACATAAGCAGCAGGACTATGTATGTGGAAAATGCTTAGGGGCCCAAACAAGTACTAGAGTAAATGAATTTATCAAGGTCTTAGTAGACAAGGTCTTTATATCTAAAACAAAATTAACTGCATTTCTATTTCTAGCAATGAACAATTAGAAAGTAAAAATTTCTAAAAATGCCATTAATAGTTATATAAAAAATATTTGGGACTAATATAACAGAAGATGCACAAGGCCACCCAACGAAAACCACATAACAGTGCAAAAGAAAATTAAAGAAAACCTAGATAGAGAGAAACTAACAGGGGCATCTGGGTGGCTCAGTTGGTTAAGCATCATCTGACTCCTGATTTCAGATCAGCTCATGATCTCAGAGTCATAAGAGTTTGAGACCCCCACAGGGCTCCATGCTGACAGGGCAGACAGAGCCTGCTTGGGATCCTATTTTTTCCCTCTTTCGGCCCCTCCCCACCTCAAAATAAATAAAAACTTTAAAAAAATTAACATATTAATGGATTGACTCATGTGACTTACAAATGTTGTAAACTCATGTTCAGATTGTATATTTCCCCCTAATTTGATCTATACAGTTGATAAAATCTCAACTAGCATTGTACTAGGTGTTTTTTTAAAGGAGTTTCCTTTTCATATAAACATTAGTATCAGCTTACCAAATAACCTAGTCAAAATAATTTTGAAAAACAACCTATTAAAAGAATTCTAAATGCTCTCAAAACTTAAAGAGCTATAAAAATGAATACTGTGTGGTACTGGCATGAATAGACGTATAGATCAATGGAAGAGAACTGAGAGTCCACAAATAAATCCAGACTTACAATGACAATTGATTCTGGCAAAGCTATCTAGGCAATACAATGGGGAAAAAAGTATTTTCAATAACTAATGCTCGAACAACTAGGTTATCTATGGGGAAAAAAAAAATCCCCTGACTTCACACCATGCACAAAAATTAATTCTGAAAAGATCATCAACATATGGCTAAAATGATTAAAGTTACAGAGGAAAATAAAGGAGAACATATTTGTGACACTGATTTAGGCTAGATTTGCTACGTAAGACATAAAATGCAAGAATCACAAAGTGATAACATGCACTTCATCAAAATTAAAAACTTGGATTTTCTAAAGTCACAGTGAAGAAAACGAGAAACCACAGCCTTAAGACCAGACCTTCCACAACATATTTGACAAAAATTTGGTCACCAGGATATATAAAGAACTCTTTCAGCTCAATATTTCAGCAAACCACCCACTGGATAAAGGGCAAAATATTTCAGAAGATATATCACAAAAGAATATAGATAAATGGCACATGGAAAGATCCATTACTATTTACTAGGGAAATGTCAATTAAAACCACAGCGAGGTAACATTAATAAGAGGCTAAAATTAAAAACCCTGACAGTGCCAAGTAACAGTACTGTGTAACAGCTAAAACTCTCAGGGTGCTGGTGACAATACATGATGGTACGTCTGCTTTGAAAACCAGGTGGACAGTTTCTTATGAAGTTATATATGTGCTTACTATGTTACCCAGCAATTCCACTACTAGGTATTTACACAAGATAAATAATAAGATAAGCCCACACAAAAATCTGCAGCTGAACGTTCATGGCAACGTTATTCAGAATAGCCCCAAATTAAAGAAACAACCTGAACTTCCATAATAGATGTATGAACAGTTTTTGATATATCTGTACTATAGACTATTCAATAAATAGAAAAATATTAGTAAATGCAACAACATGGATGAGTCTCAAAAACATGCTAATTGAAAGACATCCTATAAAAAGACTACATATTACCTATTTATATGAAATCCAGAAAAGGCAAAACTAGTCACAGAAAGCGGATCAGTGATTACCTGGGGCTAGGGGTTGAGGGAGACGAGATGTGATAAAACAGAATGACAAAACTTTTTAGGGTAAAAGAAATTATATCTATGTTGACTGTGGTGGTAGTTATATATCTATACACAGCTATAAATATTCATCAAACCTTTATACACTTAAAATGAATGAATTTCACTGCATGTAAATTATAGCTCAATAAACCTGGGGGGAAGAACTGCAAAAATACAAATGGGGTACTTACAGGTCTCGCTTATTAAAGCAGAACAATACTCCCAAAAGGGTTGTCAATAGAAATGCTAGGCAAACAGGCACAACTATGGCTTCAATTTCTCCTTGAGCTAAAAAACAGAAAGGGGTAAGAAGGAAAATAAATGTCAACACATGTGCTAACAGAAATAATGAAACTCCCCAACCAGATGGCTGTTGAAAAGATGAAATACCATCCTGTTTTTATAGCCCTTTCAAACTAAAAGATTGCTTCCTGCCACCTGACCCCCCTTGGTAAATCATATCCTAGCCCCTTGTACCTAACACAGTAAGCTGGCCACAGAGTAAGCATAAACTCTATGTTGGTTAGGGGAATAAAATGACTAGTTCAGTTTTCTGGACAGATAACTATCCAAAAAGTTAGAACTTTCAAACCTAACCATTTATTACATTTATGATCTGCACTCAGCAGAATCTTATCAAACGTTTATCTCTGAAATCTGTGAGTGAGTGCTGGGCAGGAGTGGAAAAATTACAAAACAATCGTAATAAGTGAAATACACATGGAATCCTCTATAAGGAATAAAAATAAAGAGTTCAGGCAAAATTTTTAATAGTTACTTACAATTTTCAAAAAGATGGGTGTATCTGGTATACAGCTAAGAATTTACAAGACTCTTCAGTATAAGGAGTGGCAGAAGTAGGAGTATTATCACCTAAAAACCAACAAGCCTAAGATTTCTAAATTAGCAGATAATCCTCAATCCGCATTGGGGGCTGCATAAGAGGGCTTACTTAAGCAATGAATCACTAAGTGGACAGTTTATATTGGAGCTATTTCTTAATGATTTACCTTATGGCTGTCTCTGGTTAACTCCTCCAACCTCTTTATAATTAGTCTTTTATGGTAAAAATTTATAAAAGTAATACTGCAGTCATACTATTTACTTAGTCTAATCTTTGCATCACACATATCACTTTACAAGTAACTTTATATTCTACAAAGCCTAAGAGATATCAGTAAATCAGATCAATGCTCGGAAATTAACTGGAGGCAGGCACACTTTAAACTGAGGTTTTCATATAGGTGCCAAATCAAATTCAGGCAGAACCTTTTATTACTGATGCCAAACTTACTATGTTTTCATGTTTTGGGCCTTTGCTCATTCTATCCGAAGATGCCTCCTTCTATTTATCCACATCTTAACTCTGAGACTCAACTACTCACTCCTCTATATAATCTATGAAGATGAAAGTCCCCCCTACTAATTATCTTTAAATTTCTACTCTGTTTATTGTCTACATGGCCCAATTGCCTTTCTATTTAATTACTTATGTTGTATTTCTTCAAATAAAGTCCTTTGGGAGCAAGGCCCATGCCATACGAAGAAGCCATAATAAGTCCATAAACGATAAACAGATCAGTGAAAAAAGTAGATGATCAAGTAATCCTAACAAGTATGATCTAATTTTGGGGAAAAAATATAGAAAATAATGGAAGGATATGCAAATATGTTGATATTATTCTGGATGAGGTATTAGGAGTGATTTTTCTTCTGCTCTGTACTTTACTGTATAGTCTAAAGGCCTATATAGTATACAGTGTATACTTCTAATGAACATCACTTTCATTAGTCAAATATTTTAAAAGTTTATTTTTTACCTAAATATCAATTTCAAATATTACTTGTTAGATATTTTATTAACCTGTCACTACAAAATCTTATTCCAAAAACTATATTCATTATTGGCAATCACAGCAAAGTTCCAGATCTTTTATTATCTTTTTTTTTTTTTTAATTTTTAATGTTTATTTCTGAGAGAGAGACAGCATGAACAGGGGAGGATCAGACAGAGATGGAGACACAGAATCTGAAACAGGCTCCAGGCTCTGAGCTAGCTGTCAGCACAGAGCCTGACACGGGGCTCGAAACCACGAACTGTGAGAGCATGACCTGAGCTGACGTCAAACACCCAACCAACTGAGCCACCCAGGTGCCCCTTTTATTATCTATTTTATGTAGTCACTCACTGATTCATTTTCTCATTCAGCCATCATTCAATAACAAGGAATATAACTTACTATTTAGCATTCACTGTGTTGGTACTTGGCGGTGGGGGGTTACAAATACAATTATAATAAAATAAGGTAATTTCTATAATGATTCCAAATGTAGTAGGAACAAGAAAGAATGCAGCTTAAGACTGCTTTAAGGAGGCTAGAGGAACAGTCAAAACAAGAAAAAGTGATTGGGGCTACACACTGGGAAAAGACAGAAAAAGATGGAGAAAATAATGAGAAGCACTGGGCCAAGGAAAGAGATTATGAAAGGGCATGCGAAAGTAGTAATTAGAAAGCATGGTCAATAGGATTTTACACTTGGCTCATGTAAGCAAAAAAACTCATTTAAGCAAAAAATACTCATGTAAGCAAAAAAGAAACTGTCCACAATCCTTATGTAAATTTGTGACTTTGGCAAAGTTGGATGGTTGTGGCAGGGAACAAAAAGAAATGTATTTGGGAAAGAAAGAGAGGATGGTTAAAGTCACAGAGAGTTTAAATAGGCAGGTAATAAAATATAGGGCTGAGAACAGTGATCTGGAAAATACAAACCATTTTTAAAAAGCAGAGTGAAAAAAAGACCAAGAAGGAAGTATCTGAGAGAGGGAGAAGACTCAGGAGAGTGTTAATATACGCACACAGACAGACAGACACACACACACACACACACACACACCCCCCACACAAAGGTGAGATGAACCAGTGGAAGAGGCAGTTTCAAGGATAGAAAAGCCAAATGAGTCAAATGCTGAGAAGTATAGAAATAAGAAGACTAAAAAGCATGCACTGGATATAATAACTAAGAGGTCTTCCCTGAGTGACATTAGGGAGCTTTCAGTGGATTGGTGGGTTGGAAGCCTGATTTCAGTAGGTTAAAGACTAAGCTGGAGGAATAGAAGTGGAGCCTGAGAGGCTGGACTAGTCTTTCCAACAACAAGGAATAAGAAGAAAAGAGACCACATTTGACTTTTGCCAGTGGAAAGATGAAACCGTTTAGAATGCTACACAGATTCTTTTGGCATTTAGAGTACAGATGAAGTCAGTCAGAAGCAGTTAATAACAGAGCTGAGTTCTGATGGTTTAAAGAAACAATCCAAATGAGATAAACAATACAAAACCCATAATTTACAAATAATTATTTCTATGGATCCAAAGATGCACTTTTAACAAAGTTTTAGCTTATCAACAAAGTCCATATTTAGTCTGGTTTAAAAAAAAATGAAGAAAAGAATAAATCTCATTATTTCTTACCAAACTTTGGTGTAGTAAACGTGAATTCTGGGCCATCTTTTCCACCTTCGTCTGTGTATGCTGCCATCCGTACCATGTACAAGGTGTCACTGGTCAAAGAGGACAGTGTATATTCTGTGTGGGAGGAATCCACATTCACAGCTGCAAGAAATGAGTAAGTGTTCTTTATTCAACTACTCGATGTTTCTGCTTGATTTGGCTTTTGACACTGCAAAAGTATTAAAAAGGAATGTATTTTCCAGAAAACAATTTTCTTATCTCTGCAGGAATATTCTCCCATAAGCACAACACAGATTTCTTTAATAGGTACATTCTCAGGTGTCTCTTTTCTGAGAATAGTATACTCTACTTAAGATGTGTAACATAAAAAGATGAGACTTAACATTTAAAAGCTTAAGAAAAAAACTAATAATTCTTAATAACTGATACAGTTTATTACCAGTTTCATTTCCAATGATGGTTCTATAAAATATAGTATAATTTCGGATAAATCCATTCTGAACATCAACAGGAAGTTGGTCCCACTCTAAGACAGCTTCATTTTTTCCCACCTTTTTTGTCCGAACAGTAGGTCCTTTGGAAGGTGCTAAAACAAAATAAAGTATTTGGTAAATGAAAATTATTATGATGTAGGAAGTCATTAGCATTTACTAAAATTTCATTATTTGAACATCATGAGACACACTCTTATTTTAAAAAGAAAAAAATGTCTTTGTTGATATAAAACTCAACATATTTCAAAAAAAGGAGTTCACACTTACGAGCTTGTTTAAGGTATGCCTTTATAGACTCGGGGCTTCCTGGTCCATCAGTATATACTGGAGTAACTGTTATCAAATAACATTTGCTCTCTGCTAGGTTCCCTGAAGAAAGAAGAGGAGAGTAAGCATTTTTCTTCACATAACAAAAAATTCTAAATTCCATTATTTATTTTTACATTATAGATTTCATGACTATTGAACTTTTAAACTATAGCTTTTTAAGTAAGCACTGTCTTTTGTGTACTGGATTCAAACTTAACTGAATAAAGCTTTTCATGAAAGTAAAAGCTTACTTTTATTGTCAATACAGTGGATTAAAAGATATATTGTCAGTAAAAGTACTTATATTTATATTCAGGATTTACAAAACATTGATCTCAAATTATCACTGGTCTTATAATCTTACATTGTTTGTACATCTTAACTAATTCTTTGAGAACTGCCTAATAACCCATTTATTATAAGAGCTAGGGAAAGCATTAATGACCCTGGTTTGTCAAACCAGGGGAAAAAAAAAGAATTAGTGCCATTTCCCCCAGAAAGTAATATTTAAAAAGCCATCTTGAATACCTCCTTTATTTATAATCTCTCCAAATTAAATCTTTTTTATACAGCATTTTATCTGACCACAACAGAAAGTTATGTTATACTTTCAACAAGAACTTTTATTTCCTTAACTATTACCTATAAAATTATATATGAAAGCTCCTTTGCTTTCTTAAAAAAAATTTTACTTTTTCTGGATGACTCAATATTATTAAGAAGATGAAGAATTTTTATATTCTGTTGTAACACAATGATGTTACCCGGACTACCAGTTACTACCAATGTGTCTTCTCTCTAGCTCCATCTTGCTTTTATTTTGCTAAGGCTGATAAACTAGACAACCACATTTATTACATTTTTTAAAAGTTTATAATGTATTTTTGAGACAGACAGAAACAGTATGGCAGAGAGGGGCAGAGAGATGGAGAGACAATTCCAAGCAGGCTCCACACTGTCAACACAGAGCCTGATGCAGGGCTCAAACTCCAAACAGTGAGATCATAAACAAAGCTCACAAATTTTATGGCAGATATGTCTTTGATTAGAGCTTTTCTATGATCAGTCATATTAATCATAGCTGAATTCTAATGGTTATCCTTCTTTACTAAATAAAACACATACAAGCTAAGTATTTTGTCTTTAAAGTTGTTCTCTTTAAAGCCACATAAAAAAGCTGTACCTTAAAATGCAGACAGTCTACCACTTTGGAGCTCTACAGTATCATTGGAACTTCAATTTAAAAGATGTAAGGAAATCTGTTCTAGTTCTGCTTCCCCTACACAACAGCTTTAAGAGGTGAACGAGTCATTCATATGTTATAGGAAAACACTGAAGGATGAGGGAGTTAAATTAGGTAAAGAACCATATAACTAATTTCCAGCAGAGATCGGATTATCTTAATTTTCTTTTACCTAACAGTTTTGTAAGTTCTCCTTTAATGATAAAAACACTGAACTACAAATAGAAGATTCTATTAACTCCACTTTGTCCATAAACAGACCCTGCAGTTTAGCAAGATTAAATGTGTCTTCATGAAACGATGCTCAGCATCCCTCATCAGGGAAATACAAATCAAAACCACACTGAGATACCACCTCACACCAGTCAGAGTGGCTAAAATGAGCAAATCAGAGAACTCGAGATGCTGGCGAGGATGTGGAGAAACGGGCACCCTCCTGCACTGTTGGTGGGAATGTAAACTGGTGCAGCCCCTCTGGAAAACAGTGTGGAGGTTCCTCAGGAAACTAATAGAACTCCCTTATGACCCAGCAATAGCACTGCTAGGAATTTACCCAAGGGATACAGAAATGCTGAGGCATAGGAGCACATGGACCCCAATGTTCATAGCAGCACTCTCCACAATAGCTAAAACATGGAAAGAGCCTAAGTGTCCATCAACAGATGATTGGATCAAGAAGATGTGGTTTATCTATACCATGGAATACTACATGGCAATGAGAAACAATGAAATCTGGCCATGTGTAGCAACATGGATGGACCTTGAGGGTGTTATGCTGAGCGAAATAAGTCAGGCAGAGAAGGACAAATACCATATGTTTGCACGTATAGGAGGATTAGGAGGAACTTGACGGAGGAACAAGCGGGAGAAGAAGGGCGGAAATGGTGGGGGAAAGGGAGAGAGGCAAACCATGAGAGACTCTTGAATGCTGACAAAAACTGAGGACTGATGGATGTGGGGGGGAGGGGGGGATGGGCATGGAGGAGGGCACTTTGGGGATGAGCACTGAGTGTTATGTAGAAACTAATTTGACAATAAACTATTTGTAAAAAAAAAAAAAAAAAATTAAAAAAAAAAAGATTAAATGTGTCTTGATGAGTCACACATATAGAAAACTATATGTAACTTATAACTGTCAGACACTGAAAATCTTTTCAATAGATCACAACATCTATAAAGCAGAAAACATGTAAAAGAAAAAAATCTGAAGAGTTAGATAAAGGATTTCAACTTAAGTTTTTCCTAGCTAGGTATACCTCTTAGATAGGTGCGCTGTACAAAACCATCTTCTTGTTGCCACTCTGGGATACACGGCGATTTATCTGATAATACACACCACTCAAGTATATACTTATTTACAGATTCATTTGGAGCAGTCCATTCTACCCAAAGCATATTATCTTTGGGAAATGCTTTAAGATCCGCGACAGGACGAGTAGCTTTAAAACAAGATTTGAAAAGCGATGTGATAGATGAACATAAAAAAATTTCCAAATTTCATGTTTTACATTTCTATAACCATGTGACCTTGCTATCAGTTTTTGTAGCATATATTGTTGTTTCCATGAATAAAATCACATTATAATTTATAAATAGACAGTAAATTTATTTTGAAACTAAAATTCCTCCTTTCCCCAAATTCTTCAAATGTTTTATATATATAAATGGCAATATTTTCTTCCTTGAAAGCAATAAACAATATATTTAAGTCATATTCATATATGGCTCTCAAAGCGTTTAATATTTAAGAAAACCACATAATTAGAAAATGTGTAAATGAATTAAGTGGTTTACTTCAAAGTTTAAGTAAGCCACATAATGGAATGAATTATTTCGTTCCTGACTGATTTCTGAAACTATAATGATACTGAAGAGACAGTATCATTGTCTATCAATGTAGAATAATGATGTATTATGTATTAGAATATCTTATATATTATGAACTACTTTTCCCATCTCACAGATACAAACCTTGAAAGTTATAGGCAGGGATAGTTAAAATAGCTGCATCTGATTTGCCAACCAGATTTCTTGCTGTCAGAGTTGCTATGTAACGATCATTTGTGATGTTTACTGTCCATTTTGTGTCATTAACTGTGTAATTCTGTAAACGCGATTTCCATCTTATGAGAGTCACTTCATAATCCAAAATTTTTCCATTGGCTTCAAAAGGAGGCAATGTCTATAATAAAAGTTTATTTAAAAAATATATTTAACAAATCTTTAATAATCAGTTTTTTTTTTCATGTTCACAAATTCTGCTGTTACATCAAACCTCTAACTGAAAACGTTTAACTGAAAGGCACTGGCAACCTCATTTTCAACTCACAACCTTAAGTGAAACTACTGTATAGTGAATGAAGAGTAAACACATGACTTTGACTAACAGGGAAAGTAAATTAGCACCATTTTGTTAGCTTTTAGTTCTGTATAGTATTCTGCACTGTTACTATCTGGCCCTAAACTGTCTTAAGCTGGAGTACTTTTCTCTCTCTGTTCTTAGTATGGTACATCTGCACACTTATGGACTTGACAGTCATTTTGTATTTCCTATTATTGGCATACGTTTTGATTACCCAAAATCTTTATTATTTTCTATGAGGCACTCAAGAAAATTCAATGACAGACAAGATCCTTCTTATAAACTTTCACAGAACTGTGAAGTATCTATGAGGTATAACCTGAGGTTTATGATCCTTTTATGTAGTATATATAAAACTCAGTGTTTCTATTTATAACACTTTGCTGATATTAAGATGAATAAAAATTTAAGTTAAAAAACTACACTCATAATACCATATAAAATGTATTTGCGTAATAAAAGAATATAAACATGCAATTTTTTTTTTTTTTTTTTACCTTCCATATGAGTTGTACAGATCTATAGCCATGAGTATGGGATGGCTCTATCTTATACCAGAAACTGGGTGCCTTGGATGGTCCTAAAGAAATGATATAAACTTTTTAAAATAAAGGTTTTTATTATAGCAGTAAAATATAGTCCTGGAAATTATTCTCCTACTTTGTTCTTATTCTTGCCCTTCAATTCACAGGGTCTTTTTTTTTTTTTTTTTTTTTTTTTTTTTTTTTTTTACATGTTTACTTACTATGAGAGAGAGAGAGAGAACAAGAACAGGGGAGGGGCAGAGAGAGAGGGAGAGAAAATCTCAAGCAGGTCCTGTGTGGTTAGCAAGGAGCCTGATGCGGGCCTTGAACCCATGAACCATGATATCACAACCTGAGCTGAAATCAAGAGTCAGAAGCTCAACCGAATGCTCCACCCAGAGACCTCTAAACTTGCATCTTTCCCATTGCAGCACACCATCCTTGGGTCTTTCTTTAGAGGGAGTGATAGCTTGATGATTTAGATTAGAATGCTTTTCTTCTAATTGTAAAGTTACAAATATATCTTAGGTATAACCAAAAATGCACTACCATTTCTTACTGCTAAAAATTAAACCGAAAAAAACCGTATTTAAATATACACTTAAAACCCCTAAATGTGAGGCACCTGGGTGGCTCAGTCGGTTCAGAGTCTGACTTCGACTCAGGTTATGATATGGTTCGTGGGTTTGAGCCTCACTCTGGGCTTTTGGCTGATAGTGCAGTCTTCTTCCGATTCTTTGTCTCCCTCTCTGCCCCCTCCCCACTCACATTCTCTCTCTCTCAAAAATAAATACACATTAAGGAAAAAAAGAACCCTAAATGTACATATATAAGAATACAAAAAACAATAAATGGAGTCAATATGGACTAAGTTTATTATCCTATGTTGGGATGACTGTTAACAGGATATAATAAAAATGAATACATAGTACTGTTGTGATAATCACAAAACAAGTGGAAAATGAAAAAGCACTTTATAAAACCAAGATCAGGGTGCCTGGGTGGCTCAGTCATTTGAGCATCTGACCCCTGATTTCAGCTCAGGTCATGATCTCATGGGTTTATGAGATCAAGTCCCACATCCGGCTCTGTGCTTACATTGTGGAGGCTGCTAGGGATTCTCTCCCTCCCTTTGTCACTACCCCTCCTCTGCTTATGTACGTGTGCGCGCGCTCTCTCTCAAAACAAATAAACTTACAAAACCAAGTATCAAATGCAAGTAATTAGGTTTTCAAAATTTCTATAGGATCAACTGACTTTTCAAAATTTTTATAAATGCAATTATAAAATATGGTGTTCAAAAGAATAAAAAAAGGATCTGAATAACATCTAAACTGTGATGTGCTCGTTATAAAGACTTAATCACAGAAGACAAAGAGGAAAGGCAGACAAGGGAGGCTGGGGAAAAAGCCTGCCAGTATAAGGGGTTCAAACAGATGCACATACATGAGTATACAACAAATTATAAAGAAAATGTTATAGGCCAGAAAGATTTTCTAACATGAATAGAACCCAGAGGCATCATTCATTAAGTTGAAGAAATGCTAATCTAAATGGTTCATAATTTTCTGGGTATCTCTTTGATTTGACAAAAGTTATGTACCAACTCCCCACAAAATGCACACAGGCACTAACTACAATATTCTGTCCACATTTTAAAGTATTTCAGCATTCCCTGCCTCCCGACAACTGACCCAACCAGCTTTCAGCTCTTCAATGATCCTAGTTTAAGAATTCTTGGGGGGCACCTGGGTGGCTCATTTGGTTAAGCGTCCAACTCTCGGTTTTGGCTCAGGTAATGATCTCATGGTTTCATGAGTTCAGGCCCCGCACGGGGCTCTGTGCTAACAGTGTGGAGCCTTATTGGGTTTTTCTCTCTTCTCCCTCTCTCTATGCCTCTCTCCCATTTGTGCTGTCTCTGTCTCTCTCTCAAAACATACACTTAAAAAAAAAAAAAGATTTCCTGGCCAAGACAAAGGAATCTGGTTGAAGACCCCAACTCAGCAACAGCAGAATTGCTTTCTTTCATGTCATTTATAAGAATAAGAGAAAATTCTTACTGGAGAGGGGTAGCTTACTTTTCTGCCTTTGAGATTCTCCACCTAACTAAACTACTGGTAGAGCTGGAGTGAAGGGATATACATGGTATGGGAGGTTTTAAAGCCAGAGTTGTTGCTACTGCCACCTAAAGGGTGAAAAGTGTTTAATAAGAAAAATCTCTGTGCCACAGGACTATTTCTTGATTGCTACAAGAGAAATTAATAATGTTAACTGTTCTGGGGAGGGGATCTTATTAGACCATATACTCTTTTATAACTTTTGGATTCTGCACTATATGCCCTATATGATCATGGAAGGGAAAAAGGAAAAATGATAATAAACTGACCAATCTAAACTTCAGGATTCTTTTCCAGGGGTTTATTAAGTGATGGTAGAACAAAACATTAATAAAAATATAGTACAAATATATTTCTGATATGAGGACCTATGGTATATTTTATTAATGTTATTTTAATGACTCAAGATATGATTCTCTATTCAGGGATACTCTGAACCATGCCCTTTCAATAAAACATTTTGGACTTAACTGTTAGTTCAATGGTTTTCTCAAGGTATCAAAAAAAAAAAAAAAAAAAAAAAAAACCTCTCCATGGTAATTTTCTTTCATTAGTATCAAATAGAGTTATGCAATCAGTAACACATATTTTATATCTTGATTGTCCTTAAAAAGTGTAAAATACAAGTTTGAATAGAATGATCACAAAATAAGCAATGAGGTCTATATTATTATAATCAGACACAATTGATAGCCATAATTCCAAACCTTTCTTTTTTTTATGTTTTATTTATTTCTAGGAGAGAGAGAGACAGTGTGAGCAGGGGAGGGTCAGAGAGAGAGGGAGTCACAGACTGAAACAGGCTCCAGGCTCCGAGCTGGCAGTCAGCACAGAGCCCGACGCGGGGCTCGAACCCACGAACCGCGAGATCATGACCTAAGCGAAAGTCAGACGCTTAACCGACTAAGCCACCCAGGCGCCCCTCCAAACCTTTATTTCTTCACGTATCTTAATTACTTACTGTCTTCATATGTGATCCCACTGGATTCTTCACTCCAGTCACTCCAGAATCCTTTACCATCTTCCTTCATACAACGAATCCTAAACACATATTCTGTGAAAGGTTTAAGGTCCTGGACAGTGAATGAAGTTCGACTGGATGCTGTATCTTCAGGAGGGATCTGACATCAAAGCAAACCAATCAACAAAAAAACCCCATGGAATTTATTATAAGTGTCCTAAATTCCATTAAGATTTTAGAAACTGATTTAATGAAAGAGAACTAATAAACTCTGGAGATAAATAAATCCAAGTCAAAATGTGTCAAAGTCAGTAAGTTAACAGATTTGCAAAGTATGAAACTATCAATTATTAATCCTTCCTTCCTTTTCTTTATTTTTATTTCTTTCTTCCATGAGGCCTGTAACACATAGGGGGTCTCAGGGGGAAAAAGATGGTATACTCCAACTAGAATTTAATTCAAGAAGGGTTTACTAAAGGAAATATGGACAGAGTGAAGGAAAACCTTAGACAGTGGTCAGTACTCTGGAACTTGTAGCTATAACCAACCCTAGGACCGAAGGCATGAGAGGAGGTAGCAGAAACCTGGAGAAGAGGGTCAGACAGGGTTAACTTGAGAGGACCAGTGACCTTAGGGGGAGACAGCAGCTCCAGGGAGGAAGCAGAGAAAACAAATATGCTCACTTCACTTCACTTCTCTCTAGTGCTAGGCCCCCTTCCCCCTCCTCTCATTATACATTTACTAGGAAACCAGAGACAATGTGAAGCCACAGATGAAATTCATATAGGTCTGCATTCTAAGACAAAGAGTAGGGTAGAGAGGAGCAGAGTGTAAATCTGGATAGGCAAAATAAAGATATCCAGCCCAATCAAGAAAAATACAAGCTTGCATATAAACTTGGTTTTCAGGAAAAAAGAGAATATAGATAAATTATTCTATCTACTACTCTGAGATTTCAATATTGAACACAAAAATAGGGGCCTTTTTTTTTTTTCTATCAATGCATTAAGATTCTATGTTATTAAATATTTTGAAGTTCAGGTATGTATCCCCTCTGCACTGCATGAAGCGTTAATCCATTTTTGTTTGTTGCTTTTTCTGATTTTTACTATGAGCCCTTTAGGTATGTAGAATGGACAGCAGAAGTGGTTAGGTCATGGGCTCAAATCCCTTTTATGAACTCATTATTGCAACCAGAGAAAGCAAAAGCATACTGTTAGTGATACATGAAATAATAAAAGAATATTATGGGGAACACAAATCTATGGTGACATCCTTTTAAAAAACTCCAAGTACTTCTTTTGGTGACGGCATTATCTCTGGGTACAGTATTCTTTTCCTTTTCAGTCTTAGAAGTTCTCCCCAACAATTCCTTCCTCTACTAAGAGGTTGAAAAGCTTTCTAAAAAGGGCTAGATAGTAAATATTTTAGGTTGAGGGTCAGACAGTCTCTGTTCCAACTCCTCTACTCATCCACTGTGGCACAAAATAGCCAAAGACAATATAAAAAAATGAGTGTGGCTTTATTTATAACAACAGATGGCAGGGTGAAATTGGCCTTCAGATTTAGTTCATTAGGCCCTGCTCTCTACCTTTACTATATAGTCTCTTCATACACCCTCCCATTTAATTTGTTTATTTTTTGTGTTCCTTTCACCTCCCACTAAAAATTACTATTACTTCTCACCCTACATCCCTTCCATACTTCATTTAAAAGCTACTGTACTCAGCAAGACTATATTTTCTATCTGAATGTCTTCCTGTTTGCCCTTGTATGAAATACATATTGAGAAGAGGTTGCAAGCAAAATATTACATATAACCACAACCTTAGGATAGTGAGACTTTTAGGGTTATTAAAGGGTTATGAGACTATTTGCATAAACAGTAACTTGCAAGTTACCTGGCTCCAAGTTGAGGCATCTCGGGTCCTATATTGAATGTTATATTTCAGTCTTATAAAACTCTGAATACTTGAGTTGATCCATGTCAATTTTAAGATACTAGACAGTTCCTCTGAGTTGCTGACTGATAAATTATGTGGTGGATTGGGCTTCACTGAAGAATAAAATAAATCCGAATTTTTTTTATCATGGTTCATTTTTACAACTTCTTATACAAACTCAAAATATACGTCTTACATTTTCTTTATATCACTATATTCATTTATTCTTACCAGATGAACAAATTTTTCTGAAAACAATACTTATGTCACACTATTATAATGAAGAGAAAAGGTTTCTAAAGAAATTTTAGTTTTCTTTGTCAAAGAAAAAGCTGCTATGAGTGCAGGTGGATTACGGATATTTTGCTTTTTCCAAATTATTTTTAATGTTGATCAAATAAATTTGTAAAAGTCACTAAGATAATACGCAGTTGTTTCTACATTAATTAAAACTGAAAAACTAATTAATAAGCGAAATCTAATAAATTCTCAAATTCAGTTTTATAACTACCTTTATCTACAGGATCAAAATTTATATGATCTGATGTAACCTTCCCAAGGGCATTCTCCGCTTCTACCCAGACTTCAATGTTGACAAAATAAACAGGAGAGTAATCAACAGTGCATGAGGTGGGGGTGTCACGTTTTGTTTTGCAATCAGCAAACTTCTCTGTTGCCCTAAATACAAAAATGGAGGAATCAGTCATTAGATTTCAAAAACTTAGAGTGAAAAACATTTGATGAAACCTATATTATTACTGCTTGAAATAAATGAAGTAATTATAAGTATAAAATAAATTGTTGATCATTAAAAACAAATAAAAATCTCTTAAAAACCAACCTGTTTTTCTTTAAAACTTGAGTCTGATTTACACCTTACAACACAAATTTTCAAATTTTCACTCCAAGAACATTAAATTTATAATACTATGCTCTATCTTCAATGACCTGTCTTCTAAAAATCAATTTCTTGTAATGTTACTGTTTCTTTCCGTTCCTGAAATAGAATCCTTACTGTACCTGCGATGTCTTTTTGTAAGCACAGGATGCTAGGAGGTGACAGGATAGGGATAAGAATTTCTGTCACCCAGAAAATTCCCTTAGACTCTTTCCAGTCAAACCCAAGCAACCACTTTCTAATTTTTATCACCACTCAAAATTTCAAGTGATATTATGATTATTTACTATGTTTATGCTATACATCAATTACACACACACACACACACCCCTAATTTTTTAAAATACAAGGGTAAGTCAAATCCAAAAATAAAACAGGTAACTTCTAGAATTACTATGATGTATATACCTCAAACAGGATACTGTATATCAATTATATGTCAACTTAAAAATTCCTAAAAGTCAGAAGCAAAATGAAATATACAAACTCTGATGTTGAGTTGGTACTATAACACAGAGAAAATTATTTTAAATAACTTTAAGACAGCAATTTAACTATACCCTTAATGGAAAAAAACCAATCTTATAATTCTTTATTGTATTCCTATTGTTGGTGCTGATAATGGCATTGTTATTCTGCAGCTCTTATGTTTACTATGAGCTAAAGTAAATGAATTATTATATTGGTATTGCTGGAAACTAAGGTTTTCAGCAGAGAAGAAAGGAAATGTAGATGTTACATGAATGGAATTAAGTAAAAACAGGTGGTCCCGGTTTTAAACTGGAAATACCAGTATTCGTTCAAAATGTATTTTACCTTAAAAACAATTCTTATCTTTTTCTGATGAAAAAGCCTAGAAACAACAACCCAGTAGCAGTAAGTTCCCCCAGCACCCATACTGTAGTCCCTAAATGGTATTTCCTACTAAATGGAACCATGGCTACTTGGGAAATGGTTGATTCTAGGTCTGGGGCAGGACATGTGAACTTAAAAAATGAACTTGGACGGGGCGCCTGGGTGGCTCAGTCGGTTGAGCATCCAACTTCTGCTCAGGTCATGATCTCACAGTTGGTGGGTTCGGGCCCTGAGTTGGGCTCTGTGCTGACAGCTCGGAGCCTGGAGCCTGCTTCAGATTCTGTATCTCCTTCTTTATCTGACCCTCCCCTGCTCATGCTGTCCCCCTCTCTCTCTCTCTCTCAGAAATAAATAAAACATAAAAAAAAAAAAAAAGAATATGAACTTGGAAAATCACATCATATGAGAAATGAAGAAAGTTGTCAAAGATGAATGAATACAGCCAGAAGAAGAGCCATCCTGAGGAAGTTCCTCCTAATCAAAATGGGACATTGTGTGAGTGTCAAGGAAAATGGTAATGGTCCGAAACACATCAAATATATTTAAATATGAATTCATAATGAAGGGGAAAACCCTACATTATTTACCTTTGGAGGACGCTAGGGAATGAACTCATTATAAAACTGGTTAGAGTAAAGGAAAAAACATCAGTATCATTTTCCTTCTACGAACTGCACCTCAGGGTAACCAATGAGTGATCAAAGGAAGTTCTGAGTATATCCACTTTAAAAAAAGAGATGGAATACCAACTACATTGTACCTCATGTACAAATAATCATCACTGATGATGGTTCAAACCTTTAAGTGAAACACTAATGAGAAGCAACACAGTTTAATCCCCAAAACATTCTGCTGAGTCATAAAAACCATTCACAGAAGAGTACACACTGTATGATTACATTTACATAACATTCAGAAGAAGCAAAAATCTGTCGTGAAGAAAATCAGACAGGTAGCTGCCTTGTGGGATGGGGTTAGACAAGGTGGTGGCTGGGACTGACTGGGAAGGAGCATAAGTGAACTTTCTGGCATTATGATTATGTTTCAAATCTTGATATGAGTCTGAGTTACTTAGCTGTATGTAGTAGCCAAAACTCACTGACTGATAATAAAGTATGTAAGTATATTTTTAGATACACATAAATTTTACTAAAACACAAAAAGTATGTGTAACTATCTAGTTAATTACATTTAATTAATGATGTAAACAAACACTGAAGCAGGTAAGGGTGAAGTATACTAAATTCTGCAGCTTACTTTGAAATGCATTAAAAAAAAGATGGATAGGTAAAGAGAAGGATGCACAGATACGGATCTATGTGATAAAGCAAATACAGTAAAATGTTAATTGCAGCATCTCAGTGATGGGTCTGTATAAATATTCACTGCAAAGTTCTTGTAGCTTTTATGTCTGATAAAAACTGCTATCAAGAACAGTTTGTTTACCACCAATTTTTACTTGTGTCTACAAAGTGTGTCGGTCATGCCAAAGAGCCAAGTCCAATACACAAAACCTGTCTTTGCAAAAAAAAAAAAAAATTTATAACCAATGGATCAACACCTGAAACCACTGTTCATCTTAATACCAGAAGGACAAAAATTCTCAACCAAAACGTGTTAGATCTAATAAATGAATTCAGTAAAGATGCAGGATACAAAATTAAAATACAATAATTGGTAGCAGTTTTTTACACTTACAAAGAATTTTCTGAAAAAGAAATAAATCTATCCCACTTACAATAGCATCAACAACAATAAAATAGGAATCAATTTAACTAGAGAGGTGAAAGATCTCTACTCTGGTAACTACAGAACGCTAATTAAAGAAATCAAAGAAGACAGTGTTCTGTGTTTATGAATTCGAAGAATTAATATTGTTAAAATGTTAATACCACCAAAAGCCATCTGTAGATTCAATGCAATAGTTACCAAGATTTTTTCTTTTATACAGATTTTTTTCTTTTATACAAAAGAAAAAAGACAATTCTGTGTCTCCCTCTCTCTCTGACCCTCCCCTGCTCATACTGTCTCTCTCTCTCTCTCAGAAATGAATAAAACATTAAAAAAAACCGTATCGTAATAGCATAAAAACAAATAGACAAATGAAACAGAACTGAGAGTCCAGAAATAAACCCGAGCACAATTCAACTAATTATGCTACCTAATATTTGACAAGGGAACCAAGAATACCTGATGGAGAAGACCCTCTTTACAATAAATAGTGCTGGGATAATTGGATATTCACATACAAAAGAATGAAATTATACCCTTATGCCATTCACAAAAATTAACTCAAAAAATGGACTGAAGACTTAAATGTATGACCTCAAACCATTAAACTTTTTTTTTTTTTTTAATATTTTTATTTTATTTCTAGGAGGGAGGGAGAGAGAGAGAGAGAGAGAGAGAGACAGCGCGAGCAGGGGAGGATCAGAGAGAGAGGAAGTCACAGACTGAAACAGGCTCCAGGCTCCGAGCTGGCAGTCAGCACAGAGCCCGATGCGGGGCTCGAACCCACGAACCGCGAGATCATGACCTAAGCGAAAGTCGGACGCTTAACCGACTAAGCCACCCAGGCGCCCCTAAACTCTTAAAAGAAAACACAGGAATAAAGCTGTATGACATGGATCTTGGTATGGATTTTTTTGGATATGAAACTCAAAGTACAAGCAAAAATAAAAAATAGGCAGGTGGAACTACATACACTAAAAATCTGCCTAGAAACCATCAACAAAGTGAAAAGACAACCTACAGAATAAGGAAAAAAATATTAGGAAGCCACAGATCTGATAAGTAGTTAATATTCTTAGTATATAAAGAAGTCATCTAACTCAACAACAAAAAACCAAATAAACCAAATAAAAAATTGGCAAAAGACCTGACTAGATTTTTCTCCAAAGAAGATCTATGAAAGGGCAGCGGGTACATGAAAACACACTCAACATGACTTGTCATGAGAAGAATTTTAATTAAAACCATGAGACATCACCTCATGCCTATTAGAAGGGCCATCATCAAAAAGGGAAGAGATAATAAATGCTGGCCTGCATGTGGAGGAAAGGGATCCCTTATACACTGTATGGTGAAACTAAATTGCTACAGCCCCTATGAAAAACATTATGGAGGATCCTAAAAAGATTAAAAATAAAACTACCACATATGATCCAGCAGTTCTACTTCTGGGAATAAAACCAAATGAATAAAAATTGCTAACCTGAAAAGATATCTGCACTCTCTTGTTCACAGCAGCATTATTTATAACAGCCAAAGCAAGGAAACAACCTAAGTCCATCAACGGATGAATGGATAAAGGATTGTGGTTTATATACACAATGGAATACTATTCAGCAATAAAAAACAAGGATCCTTTCCAGGATCCCACTGACATACAATTTGTATACTATCCAAGACACAGACATAATAAAAGACTGGTGACTAGAAATTTAATCTTTTCCTTGTGTGCAACAATAGGGACAGACCTTGAAGGCATTATGCTAAGAGAAATAAGACAGAGAAAGAAAAATATTTATTATTTCACTTACTTGTGGAATCTAAAACAAACAAAAGTATAAGACTCATACAAAAAAAGAGATCAAACCTGTGGTTACCAGAGGTGGTGGGAGGAGCGAGGGGAAATTGGAGGAAGGTAGTCAAAAGGTACAAAATTTCAGTTATAAGATACTAAGTACCAGGGATTATAATGTACAACAGGACCAGAGCTAAGACTACTGTATGATACACAGGGAAAATGTTGAGTAAATCCTATAAATTATCACAGGGAGAAAACTGTTCTCCTTTTCAAAAAAATTATATCAATATGAAAAGATGGATGTTACATAAACCTACTGTGGCAATCATTTCATAGTATATGTAAATCAAATCACCATGCTATATGCCTTAAACTTACACAGTGATGTATATCAATTATTTCACAATAGGACTCGAAAAGAGAAAAATGACTGTCAGAAATAGACATAAATTGTCTAATTGCTTATTACTCTAAATTAAGATGAAATATGGTGTGTACCTTTAAGAAAAAAAAAAAAGAAAGAGGAAAAAGGGGAAAAAAGAATCAAACACTATATGGTGGTTCCTGACTGGAAGTTTACACTACCCTTAGAAATTACTTTTGGGGAAAAAAAGAAATCAAACACAAATCTGTTTGTCTAGGTCTAACAGCAATTTTTAGGAAAAAAAGAGGGCACAGAGGAATATGATAAACAACGTGTAACTACGACTTTAACAACTGAATTGCAAAGAAGAAACGAAAACCAAGTGGAACCTATGGTAAAGACAGACTTATAAAATGTATCAGTTTGCAATGCATAGAGATTAGATTATGATTTGAACACCTGTAAAAATATATACATATATTCACAACAGAGCACAGGGGATACAGTCAATGACAATGTTATAGGATTTGATGACAGATGGTAGCTATGCTTGTGGTGAGCACTGCATAAGGTATAAAGTTGAATCACTATATTGTACAGCTGAAACTATTTTAAAACTGTGTCAACTATACTAAAAATATTTGTAAACGTGTGTGTGTATACATATAGATATAGATAGATATCATGAGACATGAATACTAACTGAAAATGCAATAATGAAGTATTTTCAATTCTATTTCAGTATAATAAAGGTATGCAGTTATGGGTCTTTTTTTTTTTTTTTTTTTTTTTTTAACGTTTATTCAGTTTTGAGAGAAAGACAGAGCATGAACGGGGTAAAGGGAGAAAGAGAGAAAGAGAGAGGGAGACACAGAACTGGAAGCAGGCTCCAGGCTCTGAGCTGTCAGTGCAGAGCCCAACACTGGGCTCAAACTCAGGAACAGTGAGATCATGACCTGAGCTGAAGTTGGCTGCTTACCCAATTGGGCCACCCATGAGCCCCTGTAGTTATGGGACTTTAAAAAAAGAAAAAAAAAGAAAAAAAAAAGCCCTTTTCTTTTAGAGTTTATGTACTGAAATATTTATGGATGAGATGATATGATGTCTGAAATTTTAAGATAATTTGGGGGGTATATTTAATACTGGTCATGAGCTGATCATTACTAAAGCTAGATGATGAGCACATGGGGATTTATTATACTATTCTTTTCACTTTTATATGTTTCAGATGTTCTAAAATAAAAGCTTAAATGAAACGTTTAAAACTCTGAGGCACCTGGGTGGCTTTAGTGGGTTAAGTGTCAGACTCTTGACTTTGGCTCAGATAATTAGTTTGAGTCCCACAAGGGGCTCTATGCTGACAGTGTAAACCCTGCGTGGGATTCTCTCTCTCCCTCTTTCTCTGCCCCTCCCCTGCTTGTGCTCTCCCTTGCCCTCTCTCAAACAAACATACATTGAAATGAAAAAATGTTTACAACTTTGCATTTAATATTTCTACATGAAGAAATAAAAACTCCAGTACAAACGACTAACTTAATAAGTTTAACATACAAAAAATAACAACAACTTGCCATTCAGATTTTAAAGTGAAATTTGTTTCTAGGTATGTTTCCCTTCCAGGATCCCACTGACACATCATTTTCTTTCCTTCATTCACAATGCAACTCAAATTTTCAGGTTTTTCTGGAGGCACTAAAAAGGAAAAATCAGCAAATTTCAAAAAGCTTTTTGACCACAAATAACATGCAATTTATATATTATCCAAGACATTTAAACCCTAAATTAGATGACAAATAACAAACCAAAGCAAAAAGTATGGAAGTGGACATAATAAAAGACTGGTGACTAAAACACTAATCTTTTCTACTTAAACTCATACTTTTTAGTTTAAGCAATCTGTATTTTCTATAATAACTAGTATGTTTCAAATTAACTGCCTATACAAAATCAATTTTCATTTGTAAGTGGATATCAATATTAACTGATTTCTCCATGAAGTGTATTTTAATAAGTAATACTGCAGGTTAGTAAGAGGTAACTAAATGGAAACAAAAATGATTCACTTATATTTCTCTTCCTATTGCTTTCCAAAACTCTCTGGAGGAAAAGCAAATGCCAAAATTATGGTTCTGGGTATTCATAAATTTGACAATCCACTCTTGGGTCATACTAAGTTTATTTACTCTGAAAGAAGACTTTTTCTAGTATTTCTTCATCTTCATCAGACAGTTGCTTTATATGTGCATCTTCTCAGCAATTAAGGGATACTGAAAGTTACTATGACTACATTCATAAATTTCAATTCAACAATGCTTAGTGGGTCTCATGTCAAAACATTTTTTTCTAGAAAACTGATGGATACCTGACTTTCAGGAAAGAGAAAACTTATGTTACTCTTCAGGCTTTTTGTGTATTAGTAATGCAAATGCAGTTCCACTTCAAAACTTATTTTTTTAAATTAAGTATGTCCAAAAGTCACTGAGCCAAAAAACTGCCACATTTCATAAAGACCAACAGACATTATAAATGTAACTCAACAGTCATAACAAAGTCTGAAATAAGACAAAATCAAAACTTACAGCCTGAAATTATTCTGATTCCATAAACATTCTGATCAATCTGTCCAAATGTACGAATGTTGCAAGTGAGCTGAATATTTAATAAAGATATATCTGTAAACGTGACACTAGATGCTGTTCTGTTTATGACGGTATATTGTTCTTTAGGAACAGTAACATGGTTTGTTTTCCAGAAAATGTAACTAGCATTTACATGAAAATAATCCATGCATTTTTCCTTTAGCACACAAACTGCAGTAAAATTAGAACCAAGTTGTACAACTGGAGATTCAGGTTTAATATGACCACATGGCTCTAGAAGTTCACCTGAAAAGGAACAACAGAAAATATAAAAATGGACTCAATTATTCTGGAACAAAATGAGATTTTATATCAATACAGTCCCTTAATATTCACCAAATTATCTCTAAAGACAGGAAAAAAGAAACACACAGTAAAAAAAAAAAAAAATAATAATAATAATATGGCCAGAATTCAATGCCTAAATTTGTAAAGGAATATACCAATTATAAGACTAATGAAAAAAAATGTATGCAAGCTTCAGCCCTTTTTATAGTTATTCTAACTTTACTTTAGAAAACAAACTGCCTGCAGCATGATTCATACTTATCCTGTTCCTTGATTCAGACCCAGGGTCTAAGTTAAACCCTCCAGAAAAGAGGCAGTGGTAGGCTCTGCTCCTCTCCAGTCCTGAATAGTGCTGAATAGTGCTGGACCAGTAGATGAGGCAGGGAAGACAGTATGCATCATTCATGTATCAAAATTCAGACAACAAAATAAACAGCAAGGGAGCAAAAACAAACAACCCATGAAGACTAGAACAAGATGGCCAAATATATTAGTTTTAACAGTAACTGTATGGGATAAAATCCCATAAACAAAAAAATCAGACTGCATGAAAAAATAACTATACCACAACTATATACTTTAACTATACCCAACTCCATGCTGATGACAACTAAATCCCTCCCTCCAGCTCTAACTTCCTACTCTTTCCAACAGCTTGCAATACATATCCATGTGAGATAGTCTATAAGTACTTTAAGGTAAACATTATCTAAAGCTATATGCACCACAGTTCCCTTCAAACTTATTATTTCTTTACCTCTGCTAAAAGCATCATGTGCATCCAGTCATCTAGGCCAGATAGATACCTTGCAGTCACCTTCAACGTTTCTAATTTGATTCCTCCAACTTCCAACTGCATCAAGTCTTGTTGGTTCTAGATTCTTAATATGTTTATCAACCACTTTCGTACCAGCCCTATTACACCACAGTGCCATTACACCACAGTCTGACCTCCTTCCAGTTTACTGTGCATGTTATTACCATTACCAGTGTTACTATTCAAAATGATCATGCTATTTCCCTATTTTAAATTACTTAATGGCTTCCTGCTGTCAATATAAAATTCCCAACTACTTGGCCTCATTCTAGCCTACTGCCCAGAAATGTAAGGCAGCTTTCCCTAGTGAATCCCATTTACCAATGGATTCTTGGGTGGTTACCTATCCTAAATGAGCTTCAGTTTTTTTCACCTGGAAAATAAAGTTACTAAACAAGCATTTTTGAGATTAAAAATTACTTATGTAAAACAGCTATTATAATGCTTATTATTCAATAGTTCACCAATAAATGGTAGCCTCTCATCATTATTATTACTCTCCAGAGACAATCAAGTCACACTGATAGGGTCTGGAAGGTTCTCTCAAAGTCAGCAAGAATTAAAAACAGGTTTTTGCAGTTAAAACTGTACTCCCAAATGGAATCCTAAACCTATCACAAAGCCTATAATGCTCAGAGTAGGAACATATATTTCTTTGTTTCAAAACTCATAATATGGGCTGTTTACATGACTGCTATTATTTATTTATGCCTACAGTAAATCCCAGTGCACATATTACTCTAAACTTCCAACTGTATGGAACTTCATCTTGTGGGGTACTAGTAAATTACTCTGTGATATTGGGCCAGTCCTTACAAATCCCTAGACCTCACTTTATTCCTTGGTAAAATCTTTTTTACTTTCTCTAAAGTAATTATAATGAACGGTAAGTGCACAATACACTTTATAGTACTAAATAACGTGAGATACAACTACAGACTCAGTATTAATACGTTTTAAACACACAAAATAAAAGAGGGATACTAGAAATCAACAAATGTTTCAAAGTGAAATACAGGCTCATTAAAATCATCCTATGCCAAATTAACCCCATTTTTACAGGTCTACCAGTCTATTTGAGATTAGATTGTTTAGAAAGAGAACATTTTAATTTTTAAAAGGCATTTGAGAAAGTTAGTTGGGGTAATTACATAGACAAGATGAAGAAATATGGATTAGAATATACTATAACAGGTAATAATATGAACATTACAAAACTGCTGGTATTTAGTTGTTTCTGAGTTACAAAAACAGAAATTCCATTGGTTCAAACTAAGTGCATCTTAATTAGTTGATTACTTGTATATAAAAAATACTACAAAAAAAATCAACGAGAGAAAGGTCTTGAGTAGAGGAGGCTCAAGTGCCTGCTCTCAGCCACTGTGGCAGACTGTATTCTCCAAACATGGTCACACCTATACATTTATCCCATCCCACATGTTCTTCTTACAATGTGACTGATACTCCTTCCACAAAGAAATAGGGTCAACTCCTGCCCTGTCTGTGTGGGTGCCAATGGCCCTCAGATCTGCCTCAGCTAATGGAGAGTACTATGTGACTTCCAAGGCTCGATCATTAAAAGAATACAACTTTTGGACTAGTACTCTTTTTCTCTTAGAACATTTGTCCATGGAGCCCAGCCACATATTGCAAGTTAGCCAAGGTTACATGGGGAGACTACATGTGCTATTCTGGCCAACAAGCCCAGCAAAGTTCAAACTACAGCCGGCATCAACACCAGACATATAAATGAATGTGCCTTCAGACGATTCTACTCCCCAATCTTAGAATACTCCAACTAAGTTCCTTCCCAGACATCATACAGCAAAGGTGAATAGTCCAGCTATTTTATTTGTGACACACACAAACTGTGAGAAATGACTGTCATTTTAAGCCTAAAGTTTTAGAGTAATGTGTGAGGCAGTAATAATGTGGTCCTGTTATTTTGAACATAATTATCAATAACTTGGCAGAAAACAGAGACATCCACACTTATCAAATTAGCAAAGGACAAGACTATGGAGGACTGACAATACTTTGGATCATAAAATTATGTTGAAAAAATAGACCAGTAGGCTAAAACCAAGATAATGAACTCTGCAAGAGAGGGAAATACCTTCTATTCAGGCTGATATGAAGTAGATACAGGGTAAGGGAGAAAAGGCTTAAAAATAATTGATGTGAAAATAACCTAAGAATTTTCACTGACCAGCAGCTTATCATGAAACTACAGTCTATCTTAGCTGGCAAAAAACTATGTTGACTGAATAAAAATGATGTTCAGATCAAAGTAAATTATAAAATCACCATACTCAGACCAATCCAGTTATGGTACATTAAATTTATTTATTTATTTATTTTTTAAATATGTTTTTATTTATTTCTAGGAGAGAGAGAGAGAGAGAGAAAGAGAGAGACAGCGTTAGCAGGGGAGGGTCAGAGAGAGGGAGACACAGACTCTGAAACAGGCTCCAGGCTCTGAGCTGGCAGTCAGCACAGAGCCCGACGCGGGGCTCGAACCCACGAACCGCGAGATCATGACCTAAGCAAAAGTCGGACGCTTAACCGACTAAGCCACCCAGGCGCCCCTAAATTTATTTTTTAAGTGTATTTTATTTGAACCTCAATAATAATTATATAATTACTATTCTTTTTATAATGTTTCCTGTGGGCCAGGCATTAGCCAGATGCTTTCTGTATAGTAACTCATTTAATCCCCACAATAACCCTTAGGAACCATTACTATCCCCATCTCATAGATCACGAAACTGAGGTACAGATTAAGCAACTGGCCAAAGTCCTACAGCTGGTAAGTCCAAGCGGGGGGATGGTCTAGTATTTTGAATGTACTATGGGCAACCAAGGGAAGAATCAGAAGGGTAATCATCATGTACAGGGTTAGAAGCCAAGGCTGTAAAAAATAATCAGGATAACAGCATAAGTTCAATTTGAGGAAGAGAGGCCTCAAGTGACACATAAACATAGTCCTTCAATATGTGAAGAGTTGAACAGTGGGAAGACCAAGTGGGAGTACTCTAGAACTAGGGTTAATGGGAAAAAGTTACAAGGAGAACAATTTGGGCTCAAGAATAAGGAAAGATTTTCTAAATAGCAACAATTTCCAAAATAAGCTTAATGTCACTGAAAATGTTCAAAAAGAAGCTGCATTTCTGGATTTAGAAAGGGGTTGATTTACAGCAGTGCTTCTCAAACTATATGTGGTTGAAAAGATCAGTATGGTTTTTTCTTCCCCCAAATCTTCCACAATCTTTGCTCTGTTCCATGTTTGATGAGACAAGTCCAGGGACCATATGCTCAGGTATTATGGCTAAGTCAAACTGTTAAGAGTTTCTAACATTTATTCTTAATCTCTGTACTTATTGTGAACCAGTAACAACCACCAGTTCTCAGATGGGCATCAGGCTGTGGACCAGTTTGAGTAGTACTGCTCCAAGACACTTCTTTATTCTGGTATCACAAGAACACTCCTGCTCAGTGATACCATTGGCCATTAAAGGTAGCAGATTTCCTCCTATGTATTAATTAAAAAAAACAACAACAACATACTTTTCCCCTCCCCACCCTAAAGTTATTGTCAGTATACAGAAACAGCATTTAGGATTACTGAGTGACTGTTTCAACTCAAACTATAATTTATCAGGAGTATCTTTACATTTCAAAATCATTTTTAACAGCATTATTCTCAATAACGATCCTAGAAAAAATATAATTATAAGGCATAAGCTTAATTATATAATTATATAAAAATATATAAACCTAATTTGTGAGGTTGGAAGGGTATTTCATGAATCTTACCTACAGATTCACTGATGAAGAAAATAAACAGTGCTTGTACTATCCAAGTTTTCAATGTCAACATCTTGCACCAGATATTTCTGTAAAAGACATATAATAGTATTTTTTACTGTTTTTTTCTCTTTAACACATAATAAGTAAAGACACAATTTCTGAAGCTCTTGCTCCTAGTGTGTAACCATCTTCTAAATGGTGACAAAATTTTATGAGGATGCAGAAAACAAATTTAAAATTTAAGTCTTCAAAATATTTTTCTTTATTCCCACTGGAGTTATGGCTAGTAAAAGAGTGATGGAAAACAACTTCTACTTTAAATAAAAAAGCAATCCTGTTTCTTTTGATATGAAGACTTGTACTGTTAGTAAATACTATGTGAGTGAGACAATAGTTCAGAGAAAAATTTCTGCATGGCAAAACCCACCAAAAGCAACCTCAAAAGATATTTGCCAAAATGGAAAAAAAAAGTTTGTAATTCATACCATGACCAAAAATATCCCCTCATATATGAAGAATGCCTACAAGTCACTAAAAAATTCCAACACCTAGAAGAAAAACAAGCAAGATGAGCTGAACAGACAATTTACAGAAAAGGAAATACAAGTAATTTAAACATATGAAATGATACTCTCAACTTCACTCATAATGAAAGATGCAAATTAAAACTACCCCAGACAGGAATACAAGATAAAAGAGGCTAGAAAACAATTTGGCAGTTCTATACCAAGTTAAAAGCACATAATAACACTGGGCATTTCCACTCCTAAGAATGTATCCAAGAAAACTAAAAATACATGTTCACATGAAGACTTCTACTCAAATGTTAATTGCAGCTTTATTCATGATAGTCCCAAACTAGAGAAATATCTATCAACTGGTGAATGGATACACAAATAATCAATCGTATATCCATACAACAGAATACCACTCAGCAATAAAAGGGAATGAACTAGTGATACATGCAATAGGATGAATGAATCTCAAAAGCATTATGCGGAACAAAGGAAGCAAGACCCAATAGGCTATGTACTGTATAATTCCATTTATAGGATATTCAACAAATGGCAAGATTAAGGCAACAGAAGGCAGACAAGGGACTAACTGGTACTGAAGTGGGGAAGGGGAATAAATGTAAAGAGGCACAAAGGAACTTTCTGGGTGTGACAGGAATGTTCTATGACCTGAGGGTGGTGGTGACAGGAATATACATTTGTCAAAATTCACTGAATTGTGTTAAGAATTGTGAAAGCTATGAGATTTTACCCTACTTGCTAGCTAAAAAGTTAGCCTGCTAGTTCCATGGATACTGGCAGAAGACCTGAAACTCCTGTGTCAGAGACAAAGGACCTTATTACTCACACCAGGAGCAGCATTTTCAGAGTATCGGCATTTTCTTGTGCCAGTTGCGTGGGCCCCAATTCCGACAGAGAAATGTGAAGAAAGTCAGCTAACACCTTTACACACAGTGGGTCATGTTACAGGAGAGGAAGATACAGCTTAGAAACCCAGATCTTTCAAAATGGCAGTAAACATGCCTGTCTTTTACTCAGGAGGGAGACATCATCTCTATTTTCCAAGATTAAAAGCAAACCTTCAAGAGACCTTCAAGAGGAATCATTTCCTAACAAACTGTACAGTAAAAATTGATAAATTTTATTCTTTATAAATTAAAATTCAATTTAAAGAAACCAACAAAATCTACCTAGATGAGGTGCACAGCCAAAAGAAATCAGTACCTCACTCCTCTAAAAGACACGTACAAGAATGTTCATACAAGTTTTAATAAATACTAAATACTGAAAAGTAGAAAAAAATCAAAACCAGAAAAATAGGGGAACCGAACAATGGAAATAACTAAATGACAGCAATGAAAAAGAATTACAGGTACTCAAAACAAAATGACTGAATCTCACGTACTATTGAGAAGAAAGCAATCAGATACAAAAAAGTATACATGATTCCCTTTATATGAAGCTCAAAATCAGGCAAATGTAATCTGTGGTGACAGAGATCAGAATAGTGGTTATCTCTTTTGGGGGGTGGGGAAGAGGACAGAAGGGAGCAATCTGGGATGCTGGACATGTTCTACACTTTGGACTATGGTTATGATCTATGGACTTTATTGCATGTAAGCTGTACTTAGTAAAAATAGTAAAGAAATAAAACAAGAACTACCCAGTATCATTTCTAGTTTTGGTCAAAATGTAAAAACTAAAAAATTATCAACAGTGTTGAGACTATGAGCCCATGACATAAAGGCATTCTCATACACTGCACATTATAGCAGAAAATGGCATGGCCTTCCCAACAAACTGTACACTTAATACTGTGAATTTTATTATTTGTAAAGTAGAGCTCAACTATAAACAAAGAAAAGAACCTATGCTCACAAAACATACGCTCAGTTTTGCATTATTGATCAAAATCAAATACACATAGGTTTGAATCTAATGATTCTGTTTCCAGTATCTATCCATTCCTATAGATATGAGCAAATGACACATATGCAAAGTTATCAACTACAGCACAGTAAAAGGCTGAAGCAACTTAAATGTTCATGAATAGGGGAGTTGTTAAATTATGGCACATCCAAATAGAGCATACATGTACCTACAAAAAAATGAGGAAGGTCTAGATCTACAGATATGTAATGATATCTAAAAAACTGTTCATGTAGAGAACAGTGTATTTTTGTTATTTGTAGGAAGGAACCAAAAAAAGATAAAACACACAACTATTTCCTTATATATGCATAAAATACTTTTAGAAGGTTAAAAATTCAAATACTGACTGCTACTAGGTAAGACACCTGGGTAGGAAGGAGACTCTCTACCAAATACACATTGTACCTCTCCAATGTTGTACTCTATGACTTTAGTACTTAGCCAAAAAACTAAATTTAAATTAAAAAATTCTTGATATCTCAACACTCCCAAATAACACTAGTTGGACAGAAGAGAGCAATCTGGTGAGGGCTTCAAAGTACTATATTTGGAACAAAGTATTCTAGAAATATTAACTTGATTTATGTACTCCCTTAACATTAACAGTCACTCCATAAATAATTTACTCATGAACTATTCAGACTGTCCCACAGTAAAAGTATAAAAAAAAGTAAGGCACAATAACCATTTTCTTCCACCTGTTGTATTTCTTACATGCCAACTTTAAGTAGTCCCATATGAGGAAAATCCATATCACAAGTGTTCCTCAAACAAAACAAAATATCTGGGCATGTTAGAAGAGCAGTATGTGGTCATGCCATCCTGACCACCCCCACCAAGTACCTTGTTCACACTGTAGAGAAGATTCTCTATGGTTCCTGGACACTGGCAATCTTTCTACTGATGCACTATATTCTTACAACAAAACTCTGAAACAAGAGGTCCCATGAAGGTATTTATAGTTGCCACAAAGCAATTAGATTTATCTAAGTGGGGCCATGAAACACATTAAATAAAAGGAAAACAGACAAAGTTAGGTCTCATATTTTAATAGTTAGAAAGCAACATTTCCTAATTTTTAAAGCACTGTCATTGAGATGTGATGAAGAAACATCTATTAAGGAGCTTAATTTCATAATCCAAACCTAAGAGATGGAAACACAGTAGCACTAGCTAAAATATTAAATACAATACAATCAACTTCATTTTAGGGCTTATCTTGTTTTAAAATGGACAGAATTGACAGTATTCTGCTTATTGTTCCTGTCCTTTCCGTTGTTGACAAAACATACTCAATTTACAATCCTACTATTAGCATTATTCTCCCTCATCTCTTGCAGATTTCTCCATGCACATATTATAACCTCACTGCAAACAGATTTTCCTTGATATGTGCATCTTATTTTGGAATATTCTATGAAGCTAAAACATAACTACTAACCGAAGGTACAGGGAATGTTTATTTCAAGCACTGAGTGGTTCTTCTACAGTGGTAATTCCTCAACTACAGTGGTTCAACACAGTAATGTGTTGAAAGGTGCTATAAGATGCATCAGAAGTAATTCACAACTATTAAAGTAATAAAGTTTATAAATGATTTAAAAAATTAGAACAAATTCAACACTGTCTCTATAGTTGATTGTTCTTAGGCACTTTGATTCCCTTGGATTTTCTCAAGTGGGAGAATGCATGGGAACTATAACTGATAAATATTTAATAGGTTTTGCCCTTTATAAATTATTATTGTCATTTGTGGATTATGATTTTTGAGTCTCTTGTTCATTTCACTTTGAATCAAGGACAGCGTGAAGAAGCAAGAATAATACATTTAGATATAGATTTCATGGGAGGAAGAATGTCAACATAAACTTAGTTACTACAGTAACATGACTACTATAATTGCAGAATAGATGAACTATAATTGCCAAATAGAAGGCAAAGTAATGTATGTTGAGTGAGTAAGCTAGGCTGGGATCAAGATGGGGAAAATTTCAATATGGTATCATGTATACATAGTACAGTGTTACTCTGAAAAATTTGCGAAAAATCCATCAAACTCACATCATATTAACTAATTTTACTTTATTTTTTTATGTTTACTTCTGAGAGAGAGAGAGACACAGAATCCGAGGCAAGCTGCAGGCTCTGAGCTGTCAGCACAGAGCTCAACGTGGGGCTCAAACTCACAAACCATGAGATCATGACCTGAGCCAAAGTCAGAAGCTTAGCCGACTGAGCCAACCAGGTGCCTCTAATTATTATTTTAAAAATTATCTGGCTCTGCTCTATTCCATTAGTGCTAATTATTAATTTATAGCTAACACTTTTATACTACTATTTTACGTTATACAAGTGCTTTTATGTAAATTATTTCACTTGATTCTCCTAATACCCTAAAGAAGCAGGTAGGTAAGACAGGAAATACTATTTTATTATTTTTTAAGAGTTTATATTTTTAGAAAAGCTTTAGATTTAAATTGAAATTGAGAGGAAGATACAAAGAATTCCCAAATCCCACCTGTCCCCACACATGCATAGCGTCTCATTATCAAGGTCATTCACCAGAATGGTACATTTTACCAATGCTGAACCTACATGACACACTATCATCAATCTAAATCTATAGTTTACCTTAGGATTCACTCATGATATTGAATTCAATGGGTTTCAAATGGCAAGGATTAATTATTAGAACTGCACAAAAGAAAACTGAGACAGGTTAAGTTACTTACCCAAATCACAAAATTAGGAAGTGAAGCAGGGATGTGAAAGTAAGTCTTCTCCCTCCAAAAGTCATGCTCTTTTCATCGATTCTCACTATAAAGAGAGGAAAGCTTGATACAGAAAGCTGGCATTGATAATATTCATTATATGGTTATTTCTTAAATCCTTGCCTGGTATAAGGCTTTCTGAAAGTATATTGTAGATACGTTCTGACCTTCAGTATAAAACAATCCCATAAACACCTATATAACAATATTTAAACATCCTGTTCTTTTAAAGTTTATTTATTTTTGAGAGACAGAGCGTGAGTAGGGGAGGGACAGAGAGAGGAAGACAGAATCCGAAGCAGGTTCCAGGCTCTGAGCTGTCAGCACAGAGTCTGATGCGGAGCTTGAACCCATGAACCGTGAGATCATGACTTGAGCTGAAGCCAGACACTTGACCGACTGAGCCACTCAGGCGCCTCCATCCTACTGTTTTAATCTGAAAGCATTATCAGCCCCTTTGTGCCCAGTCCAAACTTCCCTGATTTTCATGCAATGTCACAAAAACATGAAAGGGGCATTTTGCTCAATTTGACAAAAGCAGTTAAGCAAATCTTTAATAGAATCATACCTTTTAACCTTTCACTAACAGTTAAGACTACTAATTCTTCAAATGCCAAACTATTTTATGCATACAGAAATAAAAATTCAGTTTAAAATGCAGTGCTAGGTTAAACTCTGGTGTAAAAGTAATGGTGGTTCCTCTTTGAAATGTAAAAGATAACTTCAAATTTAGGCAAGGAGTTCAATTCTCCATTATTGTTTCACACATAGTAAGGCTTTGATATAATTTAATAATGTATAAGAAATTGAATTTATGACAATGATATGTTAAAATGTAAAAGAAATAATTATTTTTAAATTTTCAAGTGAACAGCAGTTGAAAATGTCATGTACACGTCCTCTATAATCCTACCAAGAAAACTAATGTGAAAAATTTGGTGTATACTTTTTTTTTAAATATTTTTATTTATTTCTAGGGGGGAGAGAGAGAGAGAGAGAGAGAGAGAGAGAGAGACAGCGTGAGCGGGGGAGGGTCAGAGAGAGGGAGACACAGACTCTGAAATAGGCTCCAGGCTCTGAGCTGGCAGTCAGCACAGAGCCCGACGCAGGGCTCAAACCCATGAACTGTGAGATCATGACCTAAGCGAAAGTTGGACGCTTAACCGACTAAGCCACACAGGTGCCCCAAATTTGGTGTATACTCTTGCAAAATTTTTATTTGCATATCGTAACATTATATTGTATAAATATATACTTTATTTCACAAAAATGTTCTACAACTTGTTTTTCCCTTACTACATTTGGACATCTTTCTAAGTTAATACATAAAGATTAATTCCTTACATTTTCTAAAATTTACCTTCTCATATAGGTTTTCCCTGACCACCCAGTATTGCTTATCCTCCTTTCCTGTTTTCTTTTTCCTCAATGGCATTTAACAGTTTAACTTTTTAAAATGGTTTGCCAAATATTTCTTATAAAGAGCCAAATAATAATTATTTTAGGTTTTGTGTGTGTTAAGGTTTTTGTTACTAGTTAACTCTATTATAGATAATATGTAAACAAATGGGCACACTATATGTTAACTAAATTGATTTAAATTCAAAAAAAAGGCAAGGATGAATTCTAATAAAACCTTATTCAATAAAATAGGATGCATGCTAGATTAGGTCTGCGGACCACAGTACGCTAACCCTTGCTGTAAAATAGTACTAAATGTACTTATTTTGTTTATTGGCCTTTATGGGTTGAATTGTGTTTTACTCTTGATCGACAGGTTTATCTCCTAACACCCAGTAACTCATAATATGATCCTGTTTAGAAACAGGGCTGTGGCAGATGTAATTAGTTAAGATGTCATTATAAAGTGGGCCCTTAATACTGGTTGGTTGTCATTATGAGACAAAACACACAAGCACAATGCCATGTGACAACACAGGCAGGGACAGGAGTGATGCAGCTGTAAGTTAAGAAATGCCAAGGCCTACCTAATGGTTACCACCAGAAGCTATGAAGAAGGAAAGAAAGATTACATATCCAGAGTTTCAGAAGGACTTCTGGCCTCTAGAACCTTAAGAGAATAAATTCTCTTAATAGAATAACTTAATAGAATAAACTTCTATTGTTTTTTAAGTCACCCAGTTTGCTGCACTTTGTTATAGCAGCCCTGGGAAACGAATACATTGTCTGTGCACCTCAAAGAGAACACAAACAAATTAGACAAGAAATTTTGTGTTTTGTTCTCAACAATGCTCCTAGTATCAAGAATCATAACCAGCATAGTAAGCACCTCAATATATTTGTTGGATGGATAAACTAACTTTCTTGTTGTAAGCTGGTGCATAATATATTAGTGGAATAAATATACTATAATATAACCAGTCCCAAGTCTTTGTATGGAAAAAGTTTTCATTTCTCTTTGGAAAATACCTAGTTTAATAGCTATATCATATATATGGTAGGTATATATTTATTCATATTCTTCTTTGGTGATGTGTCCAAATATTTTGCTCATTTTTAAACTGGGTTTGTGGTTTTTTCATTATTAGGTTTACGAAGTTCTAAAAATAAATTCTAGGGGCGCCTGGGTGGCTCTTTTGGTTAAGCATCTGACTTCGGCTCAGGTCATGATCTCACGGTTCGTAGGTTCAAGCCCAGCATTGGGCTCTGTGCTGACAGCTCAGAGCCTGGAGTCTTCTTCAGATTCTGTGTCTCCATCTCTCTCTGCCCCTCCCCCGCTCATGTTCTCCCTCTCAAAAACAAATAAACATTCCAAAAATTACATATTATCCATATATATATGGATAAGATATCTATCTATATCTATATATCTATATATCTCTATCTATATAGATATATATAGGGATGCCTGGGTGGCTCAATCAGTTAAGTGTCCATCTTTGGCTCAGGTCATGATCTCATACTTCATGGGTCTGAATGCTGCGGCATCCGGCTCTGTGTTGACAGCTCAGAACCTAGGCCTACGGGATTATGTTACTCCCTCTCTCCACCCCTCCCCTGCTCATGCTCTGTTTCTCAAAAATAAATAAATGTTAAAAAAATGTTAAAATAGATATTCTAGATAGAAGGTCTTCATTAGAAAATTCTTTTAAGTATATTCTCTCAATCTGTGGCTTTTCTTTCCATTCTATAACAATACTTTTTAAAGAGCAGAAATATTCATTTTAATGAAGTCCAATTTATGAATTAGCACTTTTGGTATCTAAGTACTAATCTTTCGGTATCTAAGTATTGTATCTAAGAAATCTTTGCTTACCCCAAAGTCTCAAAAGTTTCCTCCTATGTTTTCTAGCTAAAAGTTTTATAGTTTTAGGTTTTATATTTAGGTATATCAACTATTTCAAGATGATTTTTATATGTGGTATAAAGTAGGTATTCAAGTTATTTTCATTACATATGAATAGCCAATTGTTTCAGAACTGTATATAGAAAAACTATCCTTTCTCAAGTGAATTAGTTTTATACTTTCATCAAAAATCACTTGTCGATATATGTGTGAGTCTATTTAAGGTACTCTTTATTCCATAGCTGGGTAACCTTTCTACGTAAAGGGCCAGAGAATAAATGTTTTTGGCTTTGTAGACCACAAAATATCTGCCAGAACTACCCAATCTGCTGTTGTGGCACAAAAGCAGCCACAGGTAATACAAAAACAAATGGGTGTGGCTGTATTCTAATACTTTATTAAAAAAAAAAAAAGTAGGAAGCCTGGATTTCCCCCGTGAGCTCTAATTATCCAATTCCTGCTCTATTCTGTTCCAATGATCTATGTGCTTACCTTTTTTTTTTTCCCAATTGTTTTATGTTTTTATTTTTTATTTTGAGAGATGGAGACAGAGAGTGAGTGAGGGAGGGGCAGAGAGAGAGTGAGACACAGAATCTGAAGCAGGCTCCAGGCTCTGAGCTGTCAGCACAAAGCCCGACGCAGGGCTCGAACCCACGGACTGTCGAGATCATGACCTGAGCTGAAGCTGGATGCTTAACAGACTGAACTGCCCAGGTGCCCCTATGTGCTTATCTTTATATAACTACTAGTCTTTTTTTAAATTGTTTTTTTTTCCAATGTTTATTTTTGAGAGAGAGAGTGAGACAAACAGACAGAGCATGAGCAAGGGAGGGGAAGAGAAAGAGAAAGACACAGAATCCGAAGTAGGCTCCAGGCTCTGAGCTGTTAGCAGAGTGCAGATGTGGGGATTGAACTCACAAACCATGAAATCATGACTCATGTCAAAGTCAAGACGTTTGTTTAACTGGCTGAGCCACCCAGGGGCCCCAACAACTACTACAGTCTTGATGACTGTAGCTTTGTTTAAGTCTTGAAATCAGTGTTCTGTGGGTTCTTAAAAAGCAATGCTATTGTTGTGTTACATGTCAATCTCGTTGACAGCATTATTCAAATCTTCTATATCTTTAGTAGTTTTCTTTCTACTTCCTCTATCAATTATTGAAAAAGGGGTATTGATATCCCAAAATACAACTCTGGCTTTATTTATTTTTGCAATTCTTTCAGATTTTGTACTATATATTTTGAGGCTGCGTTATTAGGCACATAAATATAAGATCTTCCTGATGAGTTGATTCTTCTATCATTACACAATGATGTTCTTTACCAATGGTAATATTCTTTGCTCTGAAATCTACTTTGACATTATAGACAATCCAACCTTCTCTTCATTAGTGTTATGGTATATCTTTCTCCACTCTTTTATATTTAACCTGTTGGTTTCTTCATATTTAAAGAGCACTGTTTGTCTTTTGTTATGTTTTATTTCTTTATAGTAGGCAGTATATAATTGTATCTGACCACCTCTGCTTTCATTGGGTATCTAGGCCACTTATACTTAATATCATTATTGATACAGTTAGGTTTAAAGCTATCATTGTATTTGTTTTCTACTTATCTAATCTGTTTCCCTTTTCTTCTCTTTCCATCATTTATGTTCACTTAATTATGTTTTATCATTTCTATTTTGCCTTCCTTGTTAGCTTATAAGCTATTAATTCTTTTGTTATCTTAGTGATTAC